CCTAATTGTCAGGTGAGTCATAAACCCTTTTATGATACTGTTACCTCGTGAAAATTACAGCACCTCCGCCTGTATAAGAATTTCATTAATATTTCTGGATCGACTCATTTTTTTCTTGTTGTACAGTATATACAGTAAAACATCCGCTCGTCCTGGATAGTGTGTTGGCCGCTACCTCCCACTCTGCTGAGATGAGTTGTTGCCTTGCTAATATTTCTCTCCATCTAACAACCCTCCCCCACGCATCTCTCTCTCTCTCTCTCAAACCTGACTAACACATTGTCAGCGGCCGATTATGTTTCCTCGCTTACCGTGACGGACTACCGGAGTCTTTGTGGACTGTGTGTTGTGTTGAGGCCGGGCTGAGCTTCAGTGAACTGCGCTGGTATAAGAGATACACTGAACAACTGCTACTTTCGCGAGAACATTAATGTATGTTTTTATGCACATGCGCGAGGGGGAGGGAAAGCTGGCAGCGTTGAAACAAGCAAGAAAAATGAATGAATAAATAAAAACTGAAATGGATAATTTTTTTTTTACAGAGAGAAATTAGGTGCAATAGAAATATGGAAACAAGAAAACCTGCAGCTTAACTGGATCTGGTTAACAATTAAGAAAAAAAAGAGGAAACAGTTAAATAAATTAATTCCGAGGGTTTCGCTGGTCAGGACCTTTTAGACAGAACAGAAAGTGGAAGAAAATCATTTCGACTTACTTGGGCTGCTCTTGGTTTAAATCTATTTATTTTACCAATATCAGTATAGCCGTGCTATTTATGTACATTATACACTGAAAGAATGTGAAGGGATAGATGTCAATTTACACCGAAGATAACTGCCACGCCAGACCACCTCGGCTGAGTCAAAGGGAAAACTGGAAAACTGTGGGTAGAGACTGAATGAAAGTGATTATAGATATAGGAATAAAAGTTGGTAGCGTGTGAAGGTCGGTGGAGAGTTGGAGAGGGAGGTGGTGGTGTGGTGTGACTGGTGGCCATGGTAGACACACGCCCTGGGAGAACATTTCTTCCCCCGCCCCCTCTCACTCTTCTTAGCGAGCCTCGAGTCAATATACTTGTGATATGTGTGTGTGTGTGTGTGTGTGTGTGTGTGTGTGTGTGTGTGTGTGTGTGTGTGTGTGTGTGTGTGTGTGTTTGTGTGTGTGTGTGTGTAATGCTGCCATTACTACATCTCCTTCTGTAGGCAACATTGCTCAAATCCCATCTAACTTAATCGATGAAAACTTCCTCATATTTATGTATTAACCATAATCTCACCTATTACCAAGCTTACCCTAACCTAATCAAGTTAAACCAAACCTGTTCTGTCCCATCCTAAGAGAGCTTCAGCAAACCTATTCTATCCCACGCAAACCAAGCTAACCTAATCTATCCATTTAACCTAACCTGCCATTACCGAACGTAACCAATCAAAACCTAAACTAGCCTAAACTTAGCCTAGCCAAACAAAAACAGACTAATCTAACCTAACCTAACCTACAAGGGTATCAGGCCTCACAACTTCTTTTTATTCTGACTGCAGTATTGTTTTGGTGGTCTTATCCCTTGTAAAATTATCAGCCAGTTTACTTGTGGACACACGGAGGGTAGACAACAAGTTGTGCCCGGGACGGAGAATCTGGCCAAAATGATACTTAACAAACAATTGACCTATTTTTCCTTGCAAATTACTGGTCCCGGGGTCAGAGGTCACAGTGAAAGAGGTCACTTCGATTCTTACTCCCACTAAGGTGCATCTATTTTTTTTTCGTTCTTTGGATATATTGTGTAGCTATAAATATCATCAAGCTTTGTTACAGATATGCATATTTATTTTTTTTACCGATTTGTTTTTCAGTGCTGATATACAGACACGAGTTGTGGGTTGAGAATTGTAGTGGTTCTCGTCAGACACTCGCCAAGACTTTCATTGTGTGGTGGTGGAGGGGATGAGCAAATAATACGAAACAAATATTAGTTTTCTTTGAACGTTAGCAAAATACACTCTTTGCCGCTCTTATTGGTGTGTGTGTTGAACATTAGCAAGGTCATACTGATGATAAGGTCTACCGGATGTAAAGGAGTAGGTCAAGCAGCTAATAGTTCATGTGGAATTTTGACCCAGGTCGGCAGTCATCCATATATGTTTCTCACTGGGTGGAAGTGTTAGTTTCGTTACAAGCTCACAGAAATATGTAATTATTGGACTACTTCAGTTTATAATTATTATTTTTTTTAATATAGATGCTTATGAATTTCAGTGTTTGAAATTTGCATGTGATTAAAATACAAAGAATGTACAGTATAGAGAGTGTGTCGAGGATGACTAAAATGATCACCAGTGAATACCAGCAGACACGCACCGCTGGTCTCGTGACAATAACAGTATTATCACCCCACCATGCACCGCCAGCACACTACTACTTTGCTGCCACTCGGAATCAAGTATGATGATCATCCAGTTGATACAATGATATGAGTTATTAAGAATGTCACCTTCGTTGGTGAGCTCTGAGATGACTCGAAAGGGCTGTCCACAGATGTGGCACGTGTGGAGGGCTGCGTCTAGTGCGGGAAGGGTAGCAGCAGTGTCTTCCGGCGCTGGCGCTTGTCAGCCTTGGTATGCAGTCGGGCTGTTTTGAAAGTATTGACACCTTCTCGTGTGGTGCTCCTCCAAGCGTTCCTGTTTGGAGTGATCGTCTCCCAGGTGAGGGAGTCGATTTGGCACTTCATCAGGTTTGTCTTAAGACTATCCTTATACAGTACTGTACTTTTTTCGTTGCCCGCTAGCGTTGCATTTACCATTTGTTAAGTGACTGTAAAATAGCTGCTTTGGCAGTCTACTGTTGTCCGTGCGGGTAACATGGCCAGTCCAACATAGTTGTTCATGGATAATGGTAGCTTTGATGCTCCTACAGTTGGTGTCAGCGAGAATACTGGCATCTGTTCTCCTTTTCCCATATATTCTCTTGCAGAGAGTGAAACAACTGGTAAGCAGAGGTCCTCCTGCTTTATACACCTCGGCTGGGATTCCATCAGACCCTGCGGCTTTGTTATTTTTCATCTGTTTGATGGCAGTAGCCACCTCATCCAAGGATGGGGGATAGCTGAGGTGGGTCAGCTCTGGGTGTTGAGGGACCTGCTGGGTAGTCAGGACATCCACATCGGTGTTTCGATTGAGCAGCGAATGTTAGTTCTCTTTCCAGCACTGAAGGATGCCTGACCACCAGCGCGCGTGCGCGCACACACACACACACACACACACCATGCAGCGCCAGCACACTTCGCACACACGTGGGGAAGGAGCAGGTGGGGAGTTGCACATCCCCTTGTAGTTGTAGCCACGTATGGAAAACAATGATATGCTATAGTAGAGATGTGGTAGTAACCGGAAAGACCTTACCTAACATTACAGTTGTAGCTTGATAGTGTGTATGCGTCTAAGTGTGTATTCAGCACCTCAGATTGAAGTGCCACATGTACACTCACTACAGAAAGTATCTGCAAGGTGGGGTCTGATGGATGTCGAAATGAACATTGCGACTCCAGTTGTCTCGGTTGGGTTGTCAAAATCCTTTGTCCATTGTGTCATATTGTCTAGCAAATTTTTTACAGATACTTTTGTAGTGAGTGAACGATTTAGCTTAAGGGTCAAGACAAGAGGAAAACGAATTTTCCCGGCGACAACTTTAGGTTTCAAGTCTCATATTATCAACTTACTGTCGCAGCAAAGCAGTAAAAACGTGAAACCACAATGCTTATAATCTTATGATATTTAGGTCCTCGAGTTTAGGCCTTGATTTGTTTCTTAAGCTTAAGTCTTTGTCACAAGTTCACAACTTCACTGGGTGGTTAAGTAAATTTCTTGATATTCTCCATCTGTTTGATAATACTGTACATGCCTGTCTTTAGTTAATGTTTGGTTTTTATATAATTTTAAAACCAGGAAGGAAGATACCATTCTCTATTCAAAGTGTATGCTGTTTTTTTTTTGCATTTTTTTTTTGTAATTAACATACAGTACATAGCTTTTATTTTTGTTTGGTTGCTACCAGTCGTTACTGTCATTGTTTTTATTTGATATCACGTTTTGAAACCAGAAAGAAAAAAATCATTATGCAGTATGTTTGAAATGTGTGCTGTTTTTTGTGTAGCATATATTTGCAAGTTATATGAATAAATATTTCAATTTGTTTGAAGGTTTAATGAATTATTTACAATACATACATAGTAATTATACAGTAGTATCTGTCCATATTTAGGCCCTTCCAGCCTTCCCTCTTATTAGCCTTAGTCCCTCACGTCCTTAACCTGGCCCTTGGGGCTGAGGGCAGTGATGGGTGGAGAGTGGAATGACGAGGAGGAAGGTGGTGGGGGGGGGGGCATGGTGTTGAGGTTACAGAGAACATCTGTTACTTTTTTACTTTTATCCTCTTCACCACTGTTCGGCTCGTTAGCCGCTTGGGCGATCGGTCACGTCTCTCTTACACACTGTTGGCAAGTACTGGGCCTGCACTGGCTCCTGAATGTACTTGAACCTGCTCCAGTGTTGGTCAAGTCTTGTCTTGAAAGAGCTCACACTTGGTGCCGTCACAACACACTCTGGTAGATTGTTCCATGAGTTCACAACTCTCACTCCGAAAAAGTTTGCCCTCACAGTTTTCTGGACTTTCGACTTCTTCAATCTTGAGCTGTGACCCCTTGTGGGGCGAGCGTCCGCCAGCTCCAAGTAAGGACACTCGACTGAGATGCTTATACATCTCAATTAGGTCACCCCTCCCCCGGCTGTTGTAGCCGGGGGAGGTAGGGGAGTCCCGCCATTGGTAGGAACCCTTCCCATTCTACATACACTACAGTTACTTCATACAAAGAACAATTTACTAATCTGTATATCTATAATAATCAAATTTTGCACTAGTCAAGTATCATTTGTCAAGAGTTTGTTTACTTTGCATTGTATGAATTTGGATGTCTTAAAATTAATGTCCACCTTCTCTTCCAGGACTCCCTCGGTGCCGGCTCTCACCACTCCTCCAAGGTGTCGCTGCTGGAGGGGCGTCACCAAGTCGTAGGTGAGTCCACACACCCCACTCACCATCTGCCATGGAGTGAGGTCACCAAGCTGTGGGATGAGGAACAGTCACCAAGCTGTGGGATGAGGAACAGTCACCAAGTTGTGGGATGGGGAACAGTCACCAAGTTGTGGGATGGGGAACAGTCACCAAGTTGTGGGATGGGGAACAGTCACCAAGTTGTGGGATGGGGAACAGTCACCAAGTTGTGGGATGGGGAACAGTCACCAAGTTGTGGGATGGGGAACAGTCACCAAGTTGTGGGGTGGGGAACAGTCACCAAGTTGTGGGATAGGGAGAGGGGATTGCCTCCCTGTCAGTAGATGAAAAAATTAAGCACAGCCAGGCACACAGGAAGACAGTAAGAAACAAGGAGTATTGGTTGGGAGTGTGGGAGGAGTGCAGGTCATCTGAGAATTTAGCCATAAGCTACTCCTGGTTGAGTAGTGTAAGCTAATTGGTCAGCCATGATTTTTTTAATTATTTATATAATAGTAGTTTTTAATTATTTATATAATAGTAAGTTTTAATTATTTATATAATAGTAGGTTTTAATTATTTATATAATAGTAGGTTTTAATTATTTATATAATAGTAGGTAAAAGGTTTTTAATAAGGAAATAGTACAGTACAGTACAGTATCAGGGTAGACGAAGACCTTAGTTACAGAGAGTGTGAGTAACTCAGTTCCAAGAAGTTTTATTTACTTCCCTTTTGTTTTTTCTTAAACCAAAGTAGACAAGTACAGTGATATCCCCGTTAGCCAGAATAATTGGTGCAGAGTGGTTCCAGGAATGAGATATTTCCGGGTACTGAGGAAAGATTTCCAAGAGTCTAAATTAAGCATCTTGCACAGACACACAGAGCTTTATTTATTTAGCCAAACACCACTATACAGTATACGTACAATATACAGTACAGTATGTACATATACAAAATAATGTATACTACTACTGTACTGTACTGTTTATTGCATACTGTATTCACCAACAGATGCTGTAGTCGAGCTTGTGATGCAGGCAGGCCAAATGGTGATATGATGATACAGGATGGCCTGCCTTTGTACTGTACCATCTTCTGTAACAGGTGGTGCGAACTGTCACGCTCTTCTCCTTTCACAAAGATGGAATTGTACATGCACTGTATACTTACTTACACCTTCTACACACTAGCCTACACTATCCATTAGTACACTACTGTACTAACACACTGAATGATTGTACAGTACAGTATGTGCAGCTATAATCTCTGTTTATATCATAAAACTGCTTTAATTATATGCTGGTACAGGTACAGTAATGTACAGTATACTGCACAACACACATCATATGTGAGAACAGCAGGGAGCAAGCGAACAAGCTTGTACTGTACAGTGGCATTGTTTCATAATGTAAGAGTTTGATGAGATAGGCTGTGAGATACATCAGTCAATCATAGGCATAGCATACAGCCACATGGCAGTAGTGGCCAATCGCTCATGAGCGCACTGAGTCTACTCACCCACATGCCCAGTAAGCATCCCATGTCGAAAACATGATGCAATACTTCAGAAGTTTGTTTCCATATCCAGAACAGATATTTTCTTGGAATTTTCCAGAACTGCACATGATTTCATCCTCTGGAATTCATCTCCATGCCTGGAATGGAGAGATTTCTCCCGGAATTTTTCGGAAAGCTCAAATTTTTTTTCCCACTATTGGAGAGTTCCATAAATCAAAGATTGTGGCTAACGAGGAGTTTATTGTACAGGATATGAATATATAAACTCGTCACTGTTTTACTGCTTGAAACCTTTAGTAGTAGAGTATGGTAGTTTTATTATGTTTCCACACAACTTATATGATTTTAGGCCTGCATTATTTTTATCAATGTTCATATGAATTAGGCTTTATGAAGTGTTCATATCATTTTTTATTTTCTTGGCATAATGTTGGCCTCACAGAGCCCATCACAGTGTGTTTTAAAGACAACCTTGCACGGCTACTCAGAGAGCGACCAAAAAAGGTTCCACACAGGCCTGGTACCAGGAATAGCTATGTCAGCGACTGTGTAATTCATGGTCGTGACCCATTCCTGGAGGACGATGAAAATCAGTCAGGTTAGATGAGGCTACTGGGGCTCATTGGTGATCTGATTAAAACATTTCTTGTGACCAACTTTGATTGTAAAGTATGTAGAGTAAGTTAAATACAGAGGCATATATACCGGTACCTGTATTATGACATATTTTTTTAATTTTAAAAGGTTTAATTTAATGCCTTGAAATTTTCTGGATTATGCAATGGGAATATAGTATTGTACAGTACTCTGATGCATATTGCCCCTACAATCCTGGAATGGTTCTGTTGTCCTGACACACCACAGATACACTTCTGTTGTCCTGACACACCACAGATACACTTCTGTTGTCCTGACACACCACAGATACACTTCTGTTGTCCTGCCACACACTTCAGATACACTTCTCTTGTCCTGACACACACCTCAGATACACTTCTGTTTTTCATACCTGTCAAGGAAAAAAGAACAGTTCATGAACAGGAACAGTTTTCAATAAAGAGATAAAGTCTCCAGCCACCAATATGGGCAGTCACTCAAGTTCTCAAGAGCCATTGTTCAGGATAGTTGGTCATAAGTGTTGTTGGAGGTCTTGAGCCCAGAAAGGAGTAGCCTAGTATGGCAGTTGTTTAAGGTGGGAATTACCTGATTACTCTGAAAGCTTTCCTGTTTATGTTTAAAAGTTGTACCAGAACATTGGATCTTGTAAATTAAGTATTGAATGTGCTTATGATGACTGAGGATCATGATAAAAAAATAGAACCTGGGGTTTTGGGTGAAGATATTTGTGTAGAGCTGATATTGAACTTTTGGTTTTAAATTCTTACTCAGTATATTTTGGGTTGTGTTAGTCACTTCTGTTATTTTCATGTGGTTCTGTTCATCTTATAATTTTATATTGATACTCATTTACTTTCTGCTTTTTTTTTTTAAATTATGATTGCAATGAGTCTGAGTTTTATATGTGGTATGTACAGATATGGTATTTGTTTTAGATCAACGGGGAAAATGTTCCTCTATTGTTTGTGTTGCTGTTGTACCATATAGTAAACTTGTACTCCATCATGTGAAGGCATCACTATATGTGACTGCAACACATGATGGTAATGTATTATATTAATGTGGAAAGAATAGGATTTGTCTTAGTTCACCCAGAATTCACTCTAAATCACATCATAACAGATTAATTTATAAATACATTACAATGTGAAAATAAGACAATGGATACAGTTGAGGCATTTATTACTCAGGGCAAAACATCGAAAGTGTTAGTTTTGGTATTGATGACACAAAGTGTTTCATTCTTTTTTGTGTGGTAAAATATATAGTGTGTGGTCTTTATTTGTACTGTATTGCTAATGTGTGTTTTAGCTATAATGAAATATATTGTTACATTTGATATATTGTGTTTCATCCATACAGTATTTATAAACACTGTGCATCATGATGCCTTCAGCCTAATGCCCCAACAAATCCTCCACCTGTCTAGTGACTATCCAGTTACTACAATTAATTTTCCAGTTGTAGACTTAATAACAAATTGAATAACCAGGAATTTCATCAGTTAACATGCTAATGATTATATATTTAAAGTTTTCTCGACATGACTCACATTGCTTAGAAGTCTTCATTCATGACTTCATCAATATCCAGACCCTCGTCAAACAATGTGGTAAAATTTTCTTTCATGCCTGACAATAACAGCCTCACACTCCAACAGACAACGAGCCGGTGGTTGGTGCTGTTCGACTGAGTCACCAAGCTGCTTTTCACAAGATTTCTGTTAGGCCTCGTCGAACCCATGGGGTTCCTCGCTCTAGAAGGGCAACCCAGGTGAAGTATAGCTAAGTTTAAGAGGAAAACAATGCATTACTTAGTTGGTTTGATAAAGCCTAATTTTTCTGAGTTTTATGGTTTTTCTGGGTATTTCTTAGATTTGCTTCTTTTCAACAGTTTTGTTTTCTTTAAAGGAAATTCTGTTTTAAATACAAGCAAGGATATATTAACTGTGTACAGTACTAAGGTGTTGTTGGCACATGGAGCTTATGGAAGGTGAGAGATTGGTATGGAATATTTATGAGAGCATTGGTGGAGTAAAACAGCAAGAGGAAGACCAGTGAATTAGTGAAGTCAAGAGGTAGTACAGCACTATACTCGGAATTTCCAACAACGAGACACAGGTTCCACCATGAAGAGAGGAAGATTAGTAGAATGTGTTCCATAATTATTGGGTGACAAACCCTGGGTGAGAAGGGTCAGTGTAGCTTAGGGAAAATTATCATGACTGGCCACATGATAGTACCGGTCTCATAGGTAGGAGTCCAGACCACTACTAACTAAGCCTAGGAGAAAAATTCCAGGGTTTTTTTAACAACCCAGCACACCAGGTTTTATTAATCCAGGAGCACTAGATCCAGTAAATTATGAGAATTATATTAAATAGTATATACAGTACAGTACTATGTTTTTTATGAAATAAAGATTATTTGGTGATCTAATTTGTATCTTATAACAGAAAATCTCTCAACAGATTGGGGGACAAATTAGTCTACCTGATGTCATTGAGGAAGCCAATAGTAAGAATTCTGCTTCTCAGAAACCTCTCAGCATCCCCACAGCTTCTCCATCACTCAGCACTCCTCACCCAGAGTCTGGTGAGTTACAGTCACACTGCAAGTAGTCCACCAATTCAATTAAGTTTGTCAGTTGCAAGGGCGGATCCAGGGGGGGTTCTGGGGGTCTGGACCCCACCCCTTTTCACCAGAAAATTCCATTTCTTCTTCTTTAATGCAATATTGTACTCAGGAAATTTTGTATAGTAAGAAGTATTTACTATTGACTTCAGAATATCTCCTAATATCAAGTGCACATGGCTTCAAAATGGCCTTAAAGTGTCCATGATAATGGTCAGATTTAAAAAAAAAAATGGGCAAAAAAAAAAAAAACTGGGTGGACTCACTGCACTCGCCATGTTCCCCCAACCACAACTTCATGGATCCCCCCTTTTGATATTCTTGGATCCACCCCCTAAGTTGCTTGTAATAATAACGGTATTCATAAGGATAAAGTCTTACAGAAATTAAGATTCATAGTAACATTCAAGATACTCCTGTCTGACGTAGAATTGTATGAATGCATTTTTTCTTAAGAAATTTATTCTTCTTAATGTTTAAAAAACTTTTATGTTGACTGAAAAAAAATATTCCCTTATGATACATTAGTAACATTATTATATAAGGCATTAACAGTTATCGTATTTCATGATCACTTTATGTTTCAGATAATTTGGAAGAACCAAGCAGCACCAGTTATGAGAGTCAAGCAGGCTTAGAGCAGCAAGACCCTGAGAAGAAGGACAAAGAAGAAAAGCGTGATGGGTCTCTGGCCCAACTCTTTTTTGGTAGTAAACGTTCAGGTAGACGACAGTCTCGAGGCAGTGGTGATGACAGTCGGGAAAATAGTGTCAGCCCTCTTAGGCGTGGCGGAGACCAGAGAGCATCTCGAGAGAAGAGAAGAGACTCCTCAGGTTCTCGGTTCCCATTGATAGGAGGAGCTTCCAAAACAAGACAAGAATCCCATCCTCTTCCTCCATCTGGGCGCCCTAGAGAACCAAGTAAGGAAAGAGTCACAAAAGATGTTTCAACATCTTCACCGCAACCACTACACACAGTAAGTATAGAAGGAGCAATGGAGACTAATCTGCCTGGCCAACCTAACTTCCGTATCTCTCCATATGATGAGCGGCCTTCACGACCTGCTGATGGTGTGAGAAAAGTGAAAAGTTTTAGGGAAGTGCCCGAACAAAATGCAACTCATCGAGAAATTGTTCGTCGGAAAGTCTCTTCTCAAACTAATGTTGAGGATCAGAGGAGTGTACCAAGCAAGATGTCTCGTCTCTCAGCTTCTCTTGAAAGTCTAGATGGTGATGAGCTCACAAGAAAGTCACCAGCTGTGCATGGGACTCCTAGTAAGATATTACAAACTGAAACGTCTTCATCATCTCAACGTTCATCAACAGACTCTCTTACAACAACACCTCTTCCAGGGGTGTTCATTCGCCATGAGTCACAAAGTCATAATAAAACAGTATTGCAGAAGCATCAAGAACACCTTCAACAACTGCAGCAGCAGCAAGGTGCTCAAGAAGTAAACTCAGGACCATATTCATTAGACTCGAGTATAGGTTTACAGTCCCGGGAATCGGAGGACTTGTTGCGAAAAGCAGCAAGTGTGGACCATGTGTGTTGTACTTTAGAAACACAGATTCAAACAAGGGAACCTGAGACTAAAGAATCCATCACTCCAAAGGCAGTTGAAATAAAGTCAACAACAGAACCAAAACTAAATACAGTGGAAGCAAAGATAGAATCTGGGAAACCAGAGAGCAAGAAATCCCCTGGTCAAATTTTACGTTCTCAGTCCATACACAAAACAGAAGAAACTCCAGTTCAAGGTGCACCTCCAGAGGAGGGTGACATGGAGGGAGAGTATGTACCCCGTCGTCCACTGAGAAAAGAACCAAGCATGAAACGTCTTCCACCAAGGGATCCAGGACCTACTGCAGTTCCAGAATTTATGCGCATTCAGCTTAATCGGGTAGAGAGCAAAGGTCAGTCAGTTATTTATGATACAGAACAAGAGAGAAATCCTAAGATTGAGAGGAAGGAGGTAGAGATATTAAACAAAAAGACTGAAACTCCACTGGTTTCAGAAACCATTCAGAAAGAAGTGCAGATACATGAACAACCTGCTGAGAATTCACTTATCCTGAAAAAGGAATCCATCAACATCCTCACTTCTAAAGAAAGTAAAGCTCCCACCCCATCACCTGTACAGAAGAGTAATGCTCAGGGAAGCAGAGGAATATTCAGAGACACGTCTCCATCTGGAAACACTGTAGATAGTGGAGATGGTGACTCTGGTGCTGAAGGGTCTTCATCAGAGCCCCCTGTAGACCGTGTTGTTCTGAGGAAACCTTTGATATCAGAACGAACACCAATTATAGAACGTGCCTGTTCTGTTACAAATCCAACACCAACAAAATCTAGGGGAGAACAGCCTGAGCTCTTCAAGGTGTTTGCTAGACGATCATTTAAAGTCAAAGATGTTGATAAAGACAAATCTGAATCTTTGGACATTGATGATACTTATGTTGAAGCAACAAGTGAAGTATCGGAGGTAACTATCTCTCCTGTTAGAACTCATAGCAACTCCTCACCAGCTTCTGTTTGCATTGGAAGTTCATTAACATCAGTGTCTCCCTCTCAATTATCAGCCGAGGGTTTGCAGAAACCAAGTATAAATGCTATCTCCTTTAATCGCAAGTCTGTGGGTAATCCAGCTCTCTCATTCTGCCCACCTCCTGTGTCAACCTCAGATTCTCCAGCAAACTCATCATTGTCTACAAAGCCAGTGGTGTTTGTTTTATCCAACAACAGCACTGTAGATACAAGCAGCACAGAAGTTACAGTCACAAGCAGTTCTCGAAGTATCACAACTATCACATCCACAAACGGTATCATGACGAGTAGTGTTCAAAGTAAACCAACCACTACTCCCAATCAAGGTTTAGCTGCACATCCAGTACAGATAAGTCCTACACCTCCTACTGTATCAGATAGTTCAGTCACAGTTTCTACCACACCACCTAGTGGAATAATCAGTAAAATTATTAATAATAGAACCACCAGTATCACAAGTATTAATGATACTTCCAGTGAAAATGAAAATGAAATTAATTTAGCAACACCACCATTAATATCTACTCCATCAAAATCAACACTTTCTTCTCGCTCTGGGTCAGGACTCTTTTGGCCACCTCGCCCACAACAGGATCAAGAGGAAACCCTACAACCATCTCAGCCAACACAAATCCCAACAACACTGCCTAGTCTAATAAATCCTCAGCAAAAGAAATTATCTTTGAACTCGACAAGTGATTATGAAGGAATTCGAGATTCAGAACAAACCGAAGAAATTGAAGTGGAAATATCACCACTTGATATTGGTGCTGCACGACGTAGGTTCATGAGTGGAGGAATGGACCGCTCACATGCTCCAGTTACTCCTCCAACTCAGAATTCGTTGCCAGCATCTACCTCTCCAGTATTAGGGTCCTCACCATCGGGTTCTGCCAGTAACTCACTTGGTAATCCATCATCAATAGTTGCAAAGACTGGACCACCAGTCACTGAGGCACGTAACAACACACCCTCATTCACCATCACTGTGCGTACACAAGCGGCACCTTCAACTAATCGTCTTGATACAACTCCTGTATCTACTTCTATCGTCAATCCTAATGTTGATCTCAACTCCAGTGTGACAAGCAACAGTAGCACCACTAGTATAGGAAAGCCTGAGCAGGGAGCAGCACAGCAGGCAGCAGAAGATTGGAGGGTGCTAGTTAGGCAACGGCGTGAAGGCAGACTTAAACAGACGAAGACACCCGACGCCGAGGAAATTATTATTGAGGTGAGTGTTTTATTTATTTATTTATTTATTTATTTTTTTTTTGTTACTAATCGGCTTGTTAGCCGCTTGGTCATATCTCTGTTACGCACTGTTGGCAAATACTGGGTGTGCAGTGGCTCCTGAATATATCGGAACCTGCTCCAGTGTTGGTCAAGTCTGGTCTTGAATGAGCTCATACTCGGTGCCATCACAACACTCTCTGGCAGATTGTTCCAAGAGTTCACAATTTTCACTCTGAAAAAGTTTGCCCTCACAGTTTTCTGGACTTGTGGCTTCTTCAACCTTGAGCTGTTACTCCTTGTGGGGTGAACGTCCACCAGTTCCAGGTATGTACTCGACTGAGTAGTGCCCACTGAGATGCTTATACACTTTGATTAGGTTGTCCCTTGCCCGTCTGTAGTATAAGCTAGGCAGTTGCTGACGTTCTAATCTCTCTGGGTAACTGAGGTCCCATAAAGCAGGCAACAGTTTGGTGGCCCTCCATTGAACATTTTCAATCTTTTGACAGTCCCAGCATACCTCGGGGACCAGATGGGGTGACAGTACTCCCGACGGGGAAGCACATCACTCTTGAAGATTGTGATGAGCAATGGACCATCCAGATATCTAAACAACCTTCTTATAAGACCTAGTAGTTTCATTGCCTGATTCACCTTCTTCTCACAATGGCCCGAGAACTTAAGTTCATTGTCGACATACACACCCTGGTCCTTTTCACATTCGGTCTCAATTAATGCAGTTTTTCTTCATCCTGTTGGGACATGTGATATGTCTCCTTACTATTGGTGTGACACAGGTGCATCCTCTTGCACTTCGTGACATTGAATCTTAGCAGCCATTTCTTCGACCATTCTTAAAGCTCATAGATATCTTTCTGTAGCTCTTCACAGTCTGTTTGGTTCTTATTTTCCCTAAATAACTTTGCATCGTCCACAAACAAACAACAACAGGCCCAATACACTGCCCTGTGGTACCCTGCTTGTCAAAGGTTCACATTATGATTTCGTACCATTTATCATCACACACTGTTTGCGATCATACAGAAAATCTCCGATCCACGCTAGGACACTTCCCTGAATCCTGTACCCTTCCAATTGAATTCTCAGCCTTTCATGGGGTTCACTGTCGAAAGGCTTGGCAAAATCTAGGTATACTGTATATTGTCGATATTTCTGCCTTGTTTAAGAATTTGAGTCCAAACATCCAGGCAGGATTGTCCCCGCATAAAACTGTGTTGGCAGTCCTTTATAAGGTTGTTTTGTAGTAGATGTTCCATCATGGCATTTCTTCTGATGCTCTCTAGTACTTTACACACTATGCTGGTCAAGCTCACTGGTCTATAATTATTTGTGGAGTGAATATAGGACAGTTGATCTGTAATGACCTTTACTGTCCGGTGTTAGTACAGGAGGAAACTGGAGATGTTTGGTAGTGTCACACTGGGTAACACCCTTGTCACATGTGCTTCTTGCCCATTTGTGTCACTTGGAAAATTTATGCACTTGGTTTACATCACTCTTCCTGTTATTATTCTGTGTCTTTGATCTACTCGAAACATAAGTACTGTATGGAGGTACTGTACTGTACAGTTAATAGATAGGTAGATACCCCATTAGATAGACAGATAGATAGGGTGTATGTGGACTGTTAATTTATCCAGTGGGGATTCTAGTTTATGAACCTATCCTGAATCTATGTTTATAGATGAGAGAAATAGACACTTGTCATTTTGAAATGTATTTAAAAACCGTGATCATAATATATGTCCATACTGTACACTCTAAAGATAAGAAAAACAAACATTACACAAGTAGTATAATCAAACAAATATTATACAAGCAATATTATCAATGATGCCTTCCCCCCAAAGAAGCCAGCTTCCCAGTGGTCAAGGAGAGATGGCAGGTATACTTGTTTCCAGGTATGTTGTTTGACAACGTCCAAATAGGACATCTGTGAGATCCCGACCGTGCTGTTGATAATGGGTGGCTGGGCCGTATTGACCGTGTAAGAGATGCAAGAAGCTTCCATGAACCGGTGGGTCTTCCTGTGCATGCAAGGGCTGAGCCTCCTTGGTGGCTTCGTAGCCCTAACAGTCCTTCCACGGACACCTGGTTCCGACGACCTCTTGTGTCCCCATTGCTCTCACTGCATGATCATTGTCCATTGATGATCGGTTGTCTGTGAGCATGATTGTGGGCTTTCCAAATCAGGTGGTGGTTGAACGGGCACGCAACAAGCATCTCTTGCCCCAGGCTTGGCACTGATATTGGCCATGTCCTGTCTTTCCTCAGGAGGCATATTTCAAGGTTGGGCTGACATCTGCCACCCTGAATCACTTCTGTCATTGGAATTCTGATAACTTTGGGTGGAGTCCCACCATGTGGTCAGGCAGGAGACCTTGTGATCTCAGACCTGATTCCTAGGCTTAGACTAAATCAAAACAGCATTGAGGTCCATGGTTTTGTTGTCCGGGTGACTGAGTAGGTCCTTCTGGATATCTACATTGAGCAGGCTTCGCGTGACTTGATCTCAGATGGTCTCGTCCTCATAGCTGACGTCTGTGTCACACCCAGCCCTGGTGCACTTCACACTTTAGCTACAGACAGATGCCTGCCTCTTGACTGTTTGTAAAGTGTCACACCTGCTCTCCCTCTTCCTGAACCAGGTGGCCCAGTTGCACCCTGCTCACCACCCTGTTATTTCTCCCAATGTCAGTCTTCTGATTTCACGAAGGAGGTGGGTCCCATCCTTGGTTGAGAGCCTGCCCTCCAGGTTCCTTTGAAGGTCTCTGCGAAGAATTTCCTTACAGCACTCCAGGAGCTGCACTACATCTATGTCCCCATTCAGGCCAGTGGCAGTCTTGTAGGTGACCCATCGATCCACAAAATAGGGCCAGACCTCAATCAGGCCATCAGTGAGCTTGGGTCATGTGGCCTTCTGAGGTTTGGGTTCTCTCGTCATGGTCACAACCGGCAATGTGGCAGTCATCTCTGGTGGGTGCATGTTTGCTTGGTACACATCAAGCACCTGGATGGCCTGTTTCAGACAACTCTCGGGTCTCGTATAGGCTGCTCTGCATGGTGCAGGGCAGCTGCATTATAACTGTCTCTTGAATGTATTGGACTTAGTGTATCCTTCGTAGTGTACATTCTTATCCCACTCACTGCGCCATCAATGTTTATGGATCAGAGGAATAGACACTTGTCATTTTGAAATGTTTTAATATCCTTGATCACAATACATGTCCATACACTCTCTGAAAGACAAGAAAAACAAACATTACATAAGTCCAGGTGAACCTCGAGATGCGATATCCATCGAATAGCCATTGATATCCATTGGTTGGACTTTTTTTATCTCTTGTGCAAACTATGGGTTGTATATACTCAAATTAATCGCTGTCTTGCAAGGATTCCAGCAATGCAAATTAAATTTTTCTACATCAAGTCGGTGGCATTTTATAAGGAAACAGTATTTAACCACACAGCCAACCCACGCACTACAGCCATGTTTGGTTCTTTGTCGATCGTAAATCCACCATTGCATGGCTCCACGATTATCAGCCAGCATCGTGCATTGTACTTATCATCGGTGTTTTTTTTTTTTTTCTTATTTAGTGAGAAAACAGCCCTAACATTTAGTTTGAACTGTGTTATGTTGACAATGAAGTGATATTTTCTGTGTTTTTGTGACTGTAAGGTGCGTCGAATCTGTTGTTTTGAAAATGTGGTCAGTGTCAGCTACTGTCATTATTTTTGTTATTGTTCACTCTGTTTTTGTGACAAGTGCTTTTGCTATGTGTTCGTGACTGTGAAATGAGCAGTGTAACTTTGAAAATGTCTGGGAAGGCCAAGTCATCCAAGACAACCGTGTCTGTCTTTGAGGTGAACCTTGACATTGATAAGCAGCATGATACTCCCCAGAGGCTATGTGGGAGTGACATCTCCACTCTATCTACAAGAGTCCCCTTAGCCTCGAAGGGGACATGTGATAATGACCAGACTTATTCTTCAGAATGTGGTGAGTGTCATTTAATTGTTTTGTACTGATAGTAGTATTATAGGAATTGTTTTGTCGGTGATACATGTGTTTGTGACTGGCTGGGAATGTATCCCATTGAACCCTATGTTATAATGCTCCCTATCTATAATAATTCACCTAGTGATGGGTTTTTCAGGAACCTAACCCCATCATTTATCGAGGTTTACCTGCAGTATTATCAACTAAATTACACAAGTACGGTACTATAATCAAACAAACATTATACAAGCAGAATTGTCAATGACTGAATTAAAATTAAAATCTCATACGGTAGAAATATTGTAAAAAAAAATTATATTTTCAGACTCGTCCACCAGTGTCACGGAACAGCAAAGTTCTCGAAATGGCCAATAACTTCCAGAAGCTTCAGGTTGCCTAGCAGAAGCTTTATCAAGGACGACCTTGGCCTAAATGATGACAAAAATAACCTAAGTGTCTGTCTCTTGGTACATCTGGTACATCAGGATGAAAATTAACAGTTAAACCAAAATTTACATTATTGTTTAAATTTACTTTGTAAAGACCATGACTGAAGCCTTATTATAAATTCAAGTACTACGGTGTCTGTAACCATTTACAGTACTGTATACATAAAGATGGAAATATATACAGTACTCCTTTTTGAAGTGGCTGACAGATGTTAAGTGCCCTTCAACATGGGAAGTTATTTTTTTTTTATTGTTTTTTTTTTTTTGCTTTTCATACTAAGTGATTCTCTTAAATTTTTTATTTGCCTGTTTTTAATTCAGTGGCTGAATAATAGTATAGTTATACTGTAGTGAGTTATCCTTGCAGACTTAGAAAGGACAAGGGCCCAATCTTTTTACTCCTCTGCAAAAGTTCAAAATCTGACAGTACTGACAAACACTGTACTGTACAAGTATGTGAACAGAGAAGGATAACAGTACAGTATATCATTGTTACAGTATATAAACATTATGTGTATGGTACCTCTTGCCAAGGACTTATGGACTATCAACTTGACGGTGGTGCAGATACTTGTGTGCCCTGTTAGTTTTCTGTAGTGATGGCTGGGTATGTACCGGGTAATCAAGTGATGGTCTTAGGTCATGTGATATATTTCTGCTGCTGAACTGTTTGTAGATAAACAAAATTTATATTCTGCTGTGATTTTATTTTTGCTAAAAAAAATTTAATTGTGCTGATATTGGATAATTTTTTAACTTAGTGAAAAAGCAGCACCTAATTTTACATGTACGAGTATCAGAAAATAATTACTATTAGATAGTATGAGATTTGTACGTTTCATTCTTTAAACTCCTTAGAGAAATCTAAGTTCTCCAAAAATGCCTTTTTGTTTTAGTGTAATAAAAAAAATTACCCGGTAAGTGGTTTTTCATATATTGTTATCCAAGACAATAATTAGGATAAATAGATAAAATATAGTTAGGATTATAGTGTAAAGGTAAAAACTATGTATATTGTACAGGAAGAGACTTTTACAGTTTTATGAATTATTATAACACAGTGTAGATCCTTTAAGAATACCTATAACAAACCCAAGGCTCAGCAGTTTAGGTGCGGTAAACACATGATGATATAGCTATAGTAAATTAATTTTTATATCCCTGAACTTTTCTGAGTGGAATGTAATAGATATTATTTTTCTGTCATAACTCTTCCAGTAGTTCAGTTTGTAAGCTGTACATGGAGCTGTTATGGACAGTTACGATATAGTGTACTTAATGATTCATACCCCACAGATCAAGGTTTGTATCAAGTCGTCCCTGTGTCAAGTCTGTTTGATGTACATAGCAAACAGTTGTGACAGAAGTGGCTTTAAATTAACAAGTATGACAAACATGTAAAATATATCATGTATGCTCTACAAGGCATCGTAATGATCCATTAAAATGAGCAAAAGATAACACATTATGTAAGTTGTGTAAATAGTTTGTAAATATATCTTGACAAACATGTATAATACTGTATTTGCTTTAGGGGTATATGGTGTATCAGGGTTATTAAATGAATTTAACAATATTCTGGTATTTGATGCATTTGTAACATTTTTCAAGAGATTTGGTTTCAGAGTCAGCTGACTTATTGGTACCTTCTTCATCTTGAAGGATACAAGACAAATCGATCCTTGGTACTGCGTTCAGTCTACCTACCTTTCTCTTTTGCAAAGAATAATTCTTGTAATGTTTCATACTTTTTACTTTGCTAACTAAATAATCATTAGTGACAGCTGATTTTAGTTCACCTTTGAGATGAATCCTGGTAATTTTTGGAATTAGAACTGCCCATAAAAGTAACAAAACTTAAACTGTTCAGTCTTGAGAGACTAGACATAACTTATATCCTTTGGTGATTCCCAGATAATTATGTGTAGTAATTACTTACATGCATATAAGTATTTAAATTTCTTTAGAGAATTGAGAAGCATTGTATATCCAAAAAGTTTTTGTACATTCTGCAATTTCCCCACCAGTTATAACTCAATGCAACCTAAATTAGTACAGTATAGAAGACTAATGCAGTCTGACAGAGTGATAGTTATTATGAGAAAAATAATATACTCGTACATCCTAGAACAAGGGAGTTAAACAAATAATTGTGACCACACTCATACCATTCATGAAAATGATGATTTATGTTTTCATGGGATACACATGTATACCCCTGAGGCACAATTGTAATAGAAGCATTACTCTTCTGTTTTCTCTCTATTGCTTGTTGCCAGTATCATATACATAATCAGATTATAAAGGCTTTTCCTCACACCCCCACCTCAAGACCATTGTTTACAGACAGTTGTTTTCCCAAACAGATCTGCCTCACTCTACTTCTCAGCCTTTTTATAATGTCACATCAGATATCTGGCACCTTTATTTCTTAATAGGACTATTTTATCTCTGTGATAAATTTTGTTAGTACAGTAGTTTTTTATTCTTTATTAAAATTGATAATCAGACAGAAAAATTTATATATATTTAACCTTACTGCTTCATGTATTCTGACATCAGTCTTGTAACGGTGTCTAGTCCAAGTATCTTTTTGAAATAAACTAGTTTGGTTTTATCATTCATTTACTGGTGTGTATTCAGTAATATGGAATTCTGTTTGAAACTAAATACAGTAGCTTAATTTTAGAGCACCTATATTTTCTTGAAGAAATACAACCTAGTCAGTAGCTGTTATTTGTTACTGATTTCCTGGTTTTATACCGTGTCAAGTGCCTATGTTCCGACACTTTATTTGCCTCAGTATCATGTGATAATTTCTTCCTAAAATTTTATCCTTGTACATTGTGAGTGTTTGACTTTGTGATGAAATAATTATCATGTGATCTTTCATTTGATAGGCTAACACTGCAGATTACTGTGAAAGAATAATAATTTTAAATGAGAAGCTACATGTGTGTCTACAGTATGTGCCTTTACTAAAGATGTACATAAGGGTGAAGATAAGTGTTTATTAGCTCTATATCACAAGACAGTGTGTAATGTATATCAATAAAACTCTGGTAATGTTGACCATGGCCCTTCGTGTTCTTATTTATTCTTCTGGTGTCCTTCATGATATGTTGTAAAGCTACTAAGGTATAGCATTATGCTGAGGCCCCTCTACAGTTGAGTGCACGTATCCCTGATTTACGATCAACCTATTTATGATATTTCACTTGAACGGTGGTGTTACGTATTAACACAAGAAATCTGCACCAGATGACAGTCAAGGTAAGTCTGTTCGGAGATTCATTCTTGTAACTTAAGTTTCACCATGGAAACGAACTTCTGTCATCAACTTTACTAAGTTTTAACAAGCTGGAGCAAAGAGTTTGTTGTCACTCATTGACTGTGAACAGCAGGATGAACAACCTAATAGGAAGGCTTCATGAAGGCCAAGTTGTCTACACCCCTCAATTGTGTCACTGTACACACAGGGGAGGGGGGAAAAAAGTTGTCTTCATTATTAGGTTGCTAATATTTACATCATTGTGAGATAGAGGAGGTCACAGTATACGGTCTCTCTCCTCCATCACAATACTGTATACCCTTTAGTAATTTTTCGGCCAAAATATTCTTTTCTCTCAGAATTGGAATTTCAGGGACTTCAATAATTAAATTCATCCAGAATAACACAAAAACACCAAAATTGCAAGTAATTAGCACTGAAAGGTGTCTTTAAAATCTCCCAAACATTATTTTGACCACAAATTACCCTGCAATTGAACCATGAACTATATATTTGGAATCAGCATGCTCAGGAGTACTTTTACTGAGATTTTCAGCCAAATTTATTCTTTGGCCAAAAACACCAAAAATTTTAAGCCCTACCCATCAGTAAGTTTTTGGCCGGAATATACTTTTCTCTCGGAATTGGAATATTGTATAAGGGACTTAAATTAATTACACCCAGAATAACACAAAAACACAAAATTGCACCCGGGGAACCCATAGTTGGCAAGTAATTAGCATTGAAAGATATCATTAACATCTCCCAACACTACTTATACACTAAACTAATAACTCTGTACACACAGTAAAAAAAGTACTGCACGGACTATAATCCGTGCAGCACGTTTTTTAAGAACGAGGGATAGTGGAATATGTGTGTTGGTCCTGTATAATGGTGTTAGCCCTGCTTTCCTTGCCTGAGTGTGTCCTCACATATCTGTTACTACCATAGGTAGGTGATGTATGGATCATTACAGAAGTCAGCAGACCCCCCTGTGCGATACCTTTTTTATTCTGTACCTGTATACAGGTAGTAGGATATGCACTTATAAAATTATGAATTAATATTATCACTGTACAGAAGTAGTGTTGGAGAAGGTAGTAGGTGGCAGGCAGCTACCAAACAGGGAGGTACTACCGCCTGGGAAGATATTGGAAGCATAATGTGTTGTCTAATGGTAGACCCTGCTGCCATATGGCATCACGAAAATTGTGACCAAGTCCCAGTTGCTGATCAGACTTTCTGCCTCATTTACACACAATTGCAGGGTCTCAATTGTTTCTCTTACTTGGACAACACAACATACATAATGTATATCGTTTCTCACTCTTGATTTATTTTTTCATTTTTGTATTTATTTTTTTTTATTAGTTTGCTAAAAAAAAAAAAAAAAACTCGCTGCTACTGGTTCACAAAGAGATAAGTTTAATATCAAAGTTTTACCAAAAGTTTTGCCAGTACTACTGTATTTAAGAAATGTTAGAAGCATATGCAAAATAATTAAAGTGACAGATCCACACTCATCAATAGAAAAATAATGAGATACACAGTTTCACACAGTCAGATTCTACCATCACATCACCCCCGTGATGAAAGAGAAGAAATGGGCGTAATATATATCCTGGACCAGTGTCGAGTAGATCCAACCCCAAGGGCTATAAACATATACTTCAACACCTCCATTAGTTGTGATGTTAATGATGGACAAAGGATGCTTCCTTTCTCACTTAGTGTAGTAAAACACAATAAACACACATACACTAGTCTCCATCTAGTAAAATCACCCTATGTACGTTGACTCTGTGATGTATTCAGAACACTATTTATTGTAGGAAATGTTGATGATGTTTAGATGAATATATTTATAGGAGGGCTCTTACTTCTTGTAGCACCACCATAATATTTTCTCCAGGAACCATAAGTAAGTTTTCTGCTATTCCAGTATGTTAACTTGATGATGCATGCAAGGAACACATTTTTCTTTCTCTTAATGTTGTCTGTGTGGACTGTTGCTAACTTTACCTGGTTCTAGGTTATTGGAAATAGAAGAAAATGCTTTTGAAGTGTTTCTTGAATCATTTTAGGGTGTTTATTACCGTACGAAAGCACAGTTTGGGGTAAAAAAAAAAATCACCCCTGAAGTTAAAGGCGATAAACAAAGTTTGGTACAATACTTCTCTTGCTCTCAAACTACTACGAATTGATGTAGTTTTTCCAAAGTAGATGCACTTACTTTGTACAGTAGTATATTGAATTGAAACATTCCCAATAGATTGATTATACATTTCTTCTGTTGGGTTCCTGAACTAGTCAGCCTGCAGTATTCTGTCATTGGAGCTCTGTATACATGTCTTGCCCAGAGCAGTTAACTGAAGGGGTTGCCAGATGATGTGTATGTCCATTATCTGTCTCAAGATACTCCAGCCCGGTTTCTCCCATAACCTTTCACTGAACAGTGTGACCATGAGGTATTAGTAGGCACCTACCAACCCGTCTGCCCAGTTCCCTCACTCCCCAGCCCGATCCCCTGAATCTTTGGCCCAGTCCCAACCATTCCCAGGCCCAAATCCCCCCACTCCCTGGCCTTATCGCATCACACACACACACATTATATTGCCATCCATTCATTCATATTACGTACTGTAATGTAAATCAATAGTAATAATGATAATAATAATATTAATAATAATAATATTATTATTATTATTATTATTATTATTATTAATTCAGTATATTTTTTTTTAATTTTTACAACTGGATAAGCATGTTTATAAATTATGCTGGTATGCAGTTCAGCATTAAAAAGTAGGTACGTACTTCTGTACAGTCTATGGTACACGTAGGCCATGGGAGTGTAGTCCTTTTCTTTCCTACCCTGAAAGTCTAGGGGGTCCAATTTTCACTGTTTTCAGATTATTTTGAACACACTCTTGGCTACGTATCCAAAGAATCCCTTAACCAGGTTTGGAACAGGCGATTTACTACTTTGGTATTATTTGGGGCACAAATCTGCAATGTAGTAATCATTGTAGTCTGTGAGGGACACAGCAGGGCCACGAAATGGCATTTTCGAAGCAATAAGTCTCGTCACACCTACAGAGGAGACAAGAGTGGGGGGACTCTGCTCCTGCTAGCTTTTGGACTCTTGCCGTTTCTTGTGCCACCGCTGGATGCGATCGACTCGAAACTTCAAACTTTTGAAAGAGAAGTTTGTAGTTGAGGGATCATTTCGCCATGTTCTCCACCTTTGTTCCTTCTTGCCATACACCCGGGCAGCAATGCGCTCAAGATTTCCTTTCATTTTCTTGGAATCAAGGTTTTGGTCACATGATTCATGACCCTAGGTGGACCTAGGACACACATCCCCACTGTAATTTTCGAGGGACACGGCAGGGCCACAGAACGGCATTTCATAAGCAATAGGACTCTCCACATCTACAGAGGAGACAAGGGTGGGAGGACTCTGCTCCTGCCGACTTTTGGATTCTTGCCGTTTCTTGTGCCGCTGCTGGATGCGAGCAACTTGTGACTTCAAACTTTCGAAAGAGAAGTTTGCAGTTGATGGATCATTTCGCCACGATTTCCACCATTGTTCCTTTTAGCCGTACACTCGGGCAGCAATGCACTCAACTTTTAGTTTCATTGTTGAAATCATTTTTGAATACGTACACATACTAAATTACTTAAGTCAACTATCAAAATTAGGGTTCAACTTAATATAGTAAGAGGCCCACCTACACCTCAGCCTGCTTTTGTGATGAGTCATTTGTTAATAGTGGTGATGTATTTGTTATAGTGATGACTAATTATGGTGATTCATTATAGTGATGACTCATTAATAATAGAATTTTATTTGTAGTGGTGATTCATTTGTTATGACGATGATTCAGTTCTAGTGATGATACATTTGAAGTACCTATACAGGTAGTGATTATATGGTACAGGTAGTAGTGATGATTCAGTTGAAGCAGTGAAGATTCAGTTGAAGTAGTGATGATTCAGTTAGTATACAAGTAGTGATGATTCAGTTGTAGTAGTGATGATTCAATTGAAGTAGTGATGATTCAGTTAGTGTAGTGATGATTCAGTTGAAGTAGTGAGTAGTGATGATTCAATTGAAGTAGTTATGATTCAGTTGAAGAAGTGATGATTTAGTTGAAGTAATGATGATTCAGTTGAAATAGTAATGATTCAGTTGAAGTAGTGATGATTCAGTTGGTGTAGTGATGATTCAGTTGTAGTAGTGATGATTCAATTGAAGTAGTGATGATTCAGTTGAAGCACTGATGATTCAACTGAAGTAGTGATGATTCAGTTGAAGTAGTGATGATTCAATTGAAGTAGTAATGATTCAATTGAAGTAGTGATGATTCAATTGAAGTAGTGATGATTCAATTGAAGTAGTGATTCTATTGAAGTAGTGATGATTCAGTTAATGTAGTGACGATTCAGTTGAAGTAGTGATGATTCAGTTGAAGTAATGATGATTCAGTTGGTGTAGTGGTGATTCAATTAATGTAATGATGATTCAATTGAAGCAATGATGATTCAGTCGAAGTAGTGATGATTCAGTTGAAGTAGTGATGATTCAATTGAATAATGATGATTCAGTTGAATTAGAGATGATTCAGTTGGTGTAATGATGATTCAGTTGAATTAGAGATGATTCAGTTAATGTAGTGATGATTCAGTTGAAGTAATGATGATTCATTTTGTGTAGTGATGATTCAATTAAAGTAATGATTCGATTGAAGTAGTGATGATTCAGTTGAAGAAATGATGATTCAATTGAATAATGATGATTCAGTTGAATTATTGATGATTCAGTTGGTGTAGTGATGATTCAGTTCATGTAGTGATGATTCAGTTGAAGTAATGATGATTCAGTTGGTGTAGTATTGATTCAGTTGGTGTAGTGATGATTCAATTAGTGTAATGATGATTCAGTCGAAGTAGTGATGATTCAATTGAATAATGATGATTCAGTTGAATTAGTGATGATTCAGGTGGTGTAGTGATGATTCAGGTGGTGTAGTGATGATTCACTTAATGTAGTGATGATTCAGTTGAAGTAGTGATGATTCAGTTGAATTATTGATGATTCAGTTGGTGTAGTGATGATTCAGTTGAAGTAATGATGATTCAGTTGATGTAGTGATGATTCACAATAAGGAACATTCAATAATTCATACAATACATACAGGTACTGCAGCTCATTCTTAGCACCAAGGTACACACAACAGGTACCCGTTTCACATTATTCTGGTAAGGTAGATGAGATCCTTCCTAGGCATTCATAGAACCTTGACGTTTGTGCACCAAATTATCCTCGTCAGTAGAAATATAAATGGTACATTGTATTGTAGGATTATCGATGATATTAATGTTGTCTAGCACTCAGGATGGAAGGAAACTCTAATGTGGTTTTCTTGTATAATATATAAGTTATATGAAGACAGTCTGGTGCTGGAGATGCCGTGTGGTGGGGAGCTGCTCAGTAGAAGACGTTCGGTGAGTAGCGTGTTGAAGGAGGTAGATGTGCAGGAGCTTCGTTAGAGAAGATGTTGCCTGTTGCTGGCCTCCTGGTTGAATAAATGCTGGATAGCTAGGAGCTTGCTGGAGGAGGTGTTGCGTGTTCAGGAAGATGGGCCAGAATGAGAGTTGGTTGGTGAGGAAGCTCAGAGGACAGCTGGTGGGTCGCCATGCTCGCTGGTGGGAGCGAGGACCGCCAGGCAGGCGAGGAGATGCTAGGGGCAGCCAGGCAGCGGCGGAGGAGGTGTTGCTTGTTCAAGAAGAATGGTCAGAATGAATCTCACTGGAGAGACAGAGCTTATATACCCAGCAGCCGCTATGAGTCATGTTGGGAAAACCCGAGAAGTCGCCGGTGAATAGTTTCGTTGCTAGGCAACGGCACGTTGGAATGTGATAGCAGGTGGTGGGCTGCTACGCAGTTTGTAGGGGAGACGTCCACTACAGTATACATTCTGCATTGTTTATGTCTTGTTTCAGTGAAGATTGTTCTGTTCTCTTAAGGTTTATCCACATGCAGTACTTAGAAAAGATGAAGGAAAAGAATACATTACGGGACACCATTGAGAAAAGTACAGTAGGATTGATTAGTACAGTACAGCTGAACCAAAATACGAAAAGTGTACCACATCCTGGTAGGAATTTAATTTATTTTATCAGTGATGTACAGTTGCCTGCACTTATACCTACGTGGTACAGTGGCTGCATTCTGGGTTGTAGGTTTAGATTATATTGTTTTTCAAGCTGGGATGCTAATGTATTATTGCTTGGGGCTGTACTGCAAATGATTCTTTCGCAACATTCTAAATGGGATGGATATACAGTATCTCCCTCTATTTACAACACAAACCAAATAGAATATGTATTTCTCCCTTTTTTTTCTCTGGTTTCACTTAACTTTCCCACTCGGCTTGATTGCAGTTTTCAACTATCACAAAGTTTAAAGTTTATCTCCATAATCGTAGAAGGAAGTGTTAGCAAACTGTATGCTGTCTTAAATTTAAAGAAATTATAGTGTGTGTGTGTGTGTGATTCTTATCAGAACATTGAAACATATAATGTATTTCGGCATTATCCACCCTGAATTATATATACAGTATTTTTAAGACTGAAAGCTGAAGCTTAGTCTTTTTATTACGGCTTTCTACTTTTTGTGGATATTATGAAGATTTGCCTTCTTGCTTTTGATGTTTTCTTAACTTATATTTATCTACCACCTAAGTCTCTTATTTATATTATTTCATGAACTGTACAACATGGTATTGCCTCTTCTTTTATTAAGGAACATCATTGTTAGTGAATAAATGAATATAAATGTATTAGCAAACAATCATGTATATTTATGCAAAGGCTGCAAAGAATAAAAATGTACATGGCTTATGACAGGAGTCTATGCTAAAGACAAACGCGTTCTCTAAACAACAACACGTTTTCTAGGATGACCTTAAATTTTTGTATGGTAAAATTAAATCAAGAGATGGCGGAGCAGTCAGGGGTTGATCGTTAATTTAAAGAAGTACAAGTTTCTCTCTATATTCCTTCCTTGGTATAACATTCCATTGTGACGTCACTATTAAGCCATTTGCCTGAGTGAGCCGTGAGGGAAGGACCCGTCGTGACTGGCTGTTACGTGGTGGTTAAATTTTTAGTATTTTTATATTAAGTTACTTAAACACAAGCTTATGTCGCTCCTGTACTGTATGGTGAGTAAATTGTTGGTATTTTTATTCTCATAATTAAGTTACATGTGATGTTAGAGTTGGTTAAACACCGCCATGGTAGTTTGTCAACCCAACAAGTAGTTACTGAGAGTTTTATTCCCTCATGAAGTGGATATTTAGGTGAAGATATTTTATGAAAAGGTAATTGCAAAGTTAAACTCCGCCATTTTATTTATTATGCTGCCTTGGTATTAGTGTAGTTTATATTGGTGTTTGTAATAAGTAATAATTCGTTGCCGTCGACGATTTGGTGAATTGACAAAATTAATAGGGTAAACCCGGTCCGACTAATTACCCAAATGTAGCCAAATATAGCCGGAATGAAGTCAAATGATGGTCGTACAAGCGTAATTCGGGCTGTGAATCACTTCTCGATTATTATTTGGTGTCATAAAGTAAAAAAAAATTGGTAAACTTAATTTAATCTGAGTTGGGTTAGGTTAGGTTAGGTTAGATTAGGTACATGCACTTGATCTATGTTTAAATTAAGTTTACCAATTTTTTGTGACTTTCTGACACCAAATACTAGTCGAAATTAAGTTTACCAATTTTGTGTGACTTTCTGACACCAAATACTAGTCGAGAAGTGATTGGCAGTCTGATTTATTCATCTAGGACCATTATTTGACTTCATTCCGGCTATATTTGGGTACATTTGGGTAATTAGTCGGACCCGGGTAAACATTTGTTGGTAGTTACCGGTAATTATATTGGGCGAATCTGCGAGCGAAATTTTTTGAAAACAATTATAAAAACGCCGGATTTTCATTGTTATATTATAGTGGACACTTGTAGTTTGTGTAAATGTTAAAAAATTAATATTTTTAAAATATATGCTACTTAACATTTGTGGCTATGAAGAACAGACCAAACCAAACAAACCTACTTAACCTTACCTAACTTCCCCGGTATATTAAATAAAAAGAACTTACTGTGATATGATGAAATTTGAGGCATTTTCTTGACGCGAGATGATACGGCCACAGCGGCGCTATGCAGCCCTGGCAGGTTAGTCCTATACTGTATATTAACCTATTCGTTTTTATCCTAATAGGTATTTTAGATTTTGGTTAATATATAGGACTAACCTGCCAGTGCTGCATAGCGCCGCTGTGGCCGTATCATCTCGCGTCAAGAAAATGCCTCAAATTTCATCATATCACAGTAAGTTCTTTCTATTTAATATACCGGGGAAGTTAGGTAGGTTTGTTTGGTTTGTGCTTTATACCCACAAATGTCAAGTAGCATTTGTTTTAAAAATATCCATATTTTAATATATTTCCACAAACAAGTGTCCACTATAATATAACAATAAAAATCTGGCGTTCTAGTAATAATTTTCAATCAACTTCGCTCGTGGGTTAGTCCTATATTAATACCCAAATCTTTTATCATTATCAATAGGATTATATTTTGGTAAAGGTGTAGGAGAGGGTGACCACCAGAGGGAATTGTCCGAATTGGCTGAAATTTTTTCTACACACTAATATATTAAGCACAAAAATGGAAATGACAATGCATGGCACCTAATAGAACCTGACCTAACATACCCAACCTGTGGGTTTGTTAGGTCAGGTTCTATGCATTAGCATCTTAATTTATGTGTTAAGCAACTTACCTTGATATTGGGGTTGATATACATCAGCAATGGCAAGGAGGAATACTTGGAAACGTTCACCATCATTTAGGAAACGTCTCTTGAAAAGGGATTCAGCGAGATAAACAACAAAAATGGCACCGGAAGGAAAATTGTGAAGCTAGGTAGAATAAATAAAAATTTCCTAAAAAATACTTAAAATTATAATAGAAAGTTGTCGTTTATTTTAATATACATAAAATCATCAAAACAATAAGTATAGCAAAAATCAAGAAAAGCAACAAACAACTTCTGGTGATCACCCTTTTCTACTCCTTTACTTTATTTTTTTTATAAGGAATCGATTTTCTTCAATGGCATTTCCTGGGTAAATGCATAGTTTTGTCAGGTTAGGTTAGGTTTGGTTTGGGTAGTAGGTACATGGTAATAGGAGGTTAGTTTATTTTGGCATGATAAATAATATTTGGTTAATTTTGATGCTTTTTAGTCGATTCTGAATGTTGTTTCTTGTGGAAATGAGCCTTTTGGGGGGTTTTGATTCCTCATAAAAATTTGAAGAAAAAAAAAGTCATTTCCACAAGAAAAGATGTTCAGAATCAACTAAAAAAACATCAAAATTCACCAGCGAAATTATTTATCATGCCAAAATAGGCTAACCTACTACCATGTACTTACTACCCTAACCTAACCTATATACACCAGAAAAATATCTTATACCAGTTGGGAAAATTGGGACAAAGCGAATTTTTACCATTAATAGTGATCTGAGTGAAGGTTTATACAAGACATAATCTATGGAATTGAACTAAAATTTCTGGAGATAATATTTATATGATACCGAACACGAAAATGGAAGTGAGAATGCACAGAACCTATTAAAACCTGACCTAACCTAACTTTCAAACCTGTACATTGTCGTTTAAATTTCTGGTAATACTGCAGCAGGCGGGTAACACCAGAAAGAGTTGTTCGGTTATGTTCTTTTATTTTTTCCATAGAAGATCTTTGGATGATAGTAAGTAATAAAACCATACAAGAAGTTTTTATGGTGTTACTATAGTGTGCTGTCTACAAGGATATCTCTAGTCTAATCTTACCCAACCCCACATAACCTGACCCCTCCCGACCCAACCTAACCCATCCCGACCCAACCTGACCCCTCCCGACTCAACCTAACCCATCCCAACCTAACCCAACCCGACCTAACCTAACCTAAACATCTTGTAACCTGCATGCTACAGTAGCACCCTTTTTATTTTAATTATAAGTTTATTGTTTATATTTTTTAGTTTTTCTCTACAATAATAAATCACCTGTAGTGTGTAGGGCATGACGGGTGAGGGAAATTGCAGGGTAAAACAGTGATCACTGATCATTTAACACAAAAATGATGTCTGTACATGCTTTGTACGTGAAGAAATTAATTATTTGTTGTAAATATGCCACAAATATTTTTTTTTCGGTGCATGTTGTCATCTGCTCTTTGTTTCAGTGCAACAACCGACCTGCTCTTTACTTTACTTTTATCTTCTTCGCCACTCATTGGCTCGTTAGCTGCTTTCTTACTAGTCATTCAGATGGTACATTTAAAAGCACTTACTTTGTTAAATCGTCCATATTACCAGGAATTTAAGACTTAACCAACATAATAATATATAATACTTTGCATAATACTTTGCATAAAGAAATATTTACATTTATACAGTTATTTGCAATTATCGCGTCTTTTGTCGTGACAGTCGAAGTGAAATGCCATCGTCTGTGAGCTCACCAACACCCTTTATTTACCGGATAAGTTAATTTTGAGAGTAGTTTTGCTGTGTGATATATATTATACTTTGAGAGTCTTGATGGAGAGCAGTTTTGCTGTGTGATATATATTTTTACCCTGAGAGTCTTGACGGAGAGTAGTTTTGCAGTTTGATATATATTTTTACCTTTGAGGGTCTTATTAGCTCTGCACTTTAAAAGATCTGTGGAAATTTAACCAACCAACACTTGACTAAATAGTTGTAAATTAGGTTCAGTAGTTTTGGTTGGGTTGGTATATTTTGTCTGTTTTCAAGAACTGCTTGATACCACAGCTATCATTAGGGAAGAGACCCATGATGATGACTTTATCAATTATCAAATACTGTGATGTTTTGATTTTCACTTTCTTCACAGTATCAACTTCATGTGAATCACCAGACAACAGCAGACAACAGAGAGCAGCTGTGACCCTTGTACTGCTGTCACAATCACCGCTCAGCGTCCTGAAGAGAATGTGGTGCTGGGAGACCCAACAAGAACCTTCTTGCACGCTACAGTGGTACTGGCCTTGAATTTAAAATGTAAGTACAGTATAGTACCTTCCTAAAACAAATTGTTCTTGCCAAAAAGAAATGAAAAAGTAATGAATGAAAATTGAGTACAGTACAGTACAGTACATACTTAAGGATATATTCTAACTGCTTTGATAGATGTGTTATTTTATGGTATTGCTCTTCCTGGATATTAGATCATAAAAATGAAGTGTTTAGCTTATGTTATGTTTAATTATATAGTATATTTAATACTATATAAGAATCCTAGAGTTTAATTTTAAGTAATTTAAGTTATAATTTCAGCACTTATCAGCGTGCAGTAATATCTCAGTTAGCCGGAATCCCTCAAACCCGGAACTCTCCGATAGCCGGAATTAAATTTTCCTTTGGAAAATCGTTACCAACGCCAGAATTTTCCAGAACCATTTTTCAAGGGGCACATTTTCTGGAAAATTCAAAGAAAATTTTCCGGGTACCCAGAAAATTCAGGGAAAGGGGAATTTTTTTCTGGGTTTGAGAGATGATGTAATGCACAATTTCTTGAACTCTCAATAATATTTTTACGTTACTTGGAAAATTCCAGGGATGAGGAATTTGTTTTTCCGGCTTTGAGAGTCATCTCGTTACCCAGGAATCTCTCATTCCTGAAAGTGTTCTGCACCAATTGTTCCGGCTAAGGAAGATATCACTTTACTAGTCATTCAAGCAGTTGGTCTGTTCTTTGTTAGTACTGTACTCTGTCATGACATTGTCCAGTGTTAGTACTGGAGAAAGCCTGCCATGTTTGGTAGTGTCACACTGAATACCATCCTTCCCACATATGTCCGAGGTCAGGACTCACAGTGGGTGAGAGATATGTGTGCAATCACTTATACTGCCCGATTCTGGGGTCACTAATTCTAAGGGGATAAATTAACTCTACTCTCTATTTTAAGGCCACTGCCACTATACCCTCTGGACAGTAACTCGTTAGGTAGCGGGCAGAGCAAGCGAGGCATTGGGTTGGGTTTTTCATTGACCAAATCGAGAGTGGGAAGAAGGGTGAAACATCAATCATGACTGAAATAATTTATTCCTTATAAAAACATACTGCATCCTGTCACAATACAAAAAGAGTTGGCCTTCATCAGAAGAACCACTATTATGTTCATTACACTTCATATCAATATACATCTTTCATCAAATAATTACTATGATCATCTTCATTCTTTATAACAACCAATGACTGCTCAACATGTTAGAGTATAGCACCACATCTCCTTTCACTCCACACCGACAAGTATGGAACTCCTTGGTATTCTTAGGTACACATACCAGGTACCTCGTTCACACACTACTCTTGCTGAGTAGATGGGATATTTCCCAGGTAATCATACCAGTACTGGTTCCACGCCTGGTATTCTTAGGTTGCTCCACGACCACTTGGCGACCGCGAAGCTTCTCAAACACACAATTATGTTCTCGTATCCTAGGTGGTGATTTATAGGGGGTATCCACAGATTCACAGTGGAGGTGCATAATGTCCATAAGCAGACACACCACACCCGGTGAGTTCCTCACATCGGTGGTTGGTGGTAGCTTGGCCGACGCTCTGGATGCATGAGTACCTGTTCTGGTGAGAGAGCGGGCATCACTGAGTAAGGCCTGATGGGCTTTTATCAGCAAGCATTATTGCAACTATTACTTCACTTTATAACATCAGGCAAGGTTTTAAGATGTAAAAAACTGCTAGACAAGCCTTTTTAGGGCTGAATAGAGTATGATGGAGTTCACTGACCAGTTTTGGTGAGAGAGCGGGCATCACTGAGGGCGGTACCTCGCGTCTCTCACTGAACTAGGCCTACAGTTTCCAATCTTTAATTTTCACTTTGATATTATTCTGGTTCTCACATAAACACTTTCCTATCTATTATGACCTTATGCCTTATAATTTTATATCTTAATCCTAAATTACATACTAAAGTAAGGGTCTGGTTTGCTAGTTCCTGGGGAAATTCATTGGGTTATAACAACAACGTGGCATCTTAGCCCAAGGCGGCCTAGGCGTCAACCCGAACAAAGCCAAGCGTCGTATTTTCATGGCGTGGGTATACAAGATACTCTCTTTGAATCATCGTTTCTGGATCACTTCCAACACTGCACATAGGTCTGATACATTTATCCTTTTTCCAGATCATTGTTCTCATGTATTTTCATCTAATACCTGCAGTAGCTATGTTCACTAATCGTACACAGACGTAAATAGTATGACCTTCAAAACACGATCTACGCTTATCCCTTATAGTACACTAGTCCGTATCAGTTGGACCTTCCCAATCATCCTATAGATACCTTGAGTTCTCCTTAATGCTATAAGTACATACACTTTATATTATATGACTGTACCTTGGTACAATTCGTATAAAACAATATACAGTAGGTGAGTTATCCTTTACCAAAGTATCTCGTTTTCTATAAGCTCGGTGGATTCGAATGTTATGTAGCATAATATGAATTAAAGCGATATTAAGGATGACAATGATGTGCGCAGTACATAGCCTAACCCCTCCCAAAGATTCATATCATGCGGAATAATATGCAAAAGCACTAACACAGTAGTGTACATACATGTGACATCGTCTTAACAGTTCGCAAATACAGTAAACTAGATCATCAAAATTCATAAGGAGACTTAAACTTTTCATACTAGGGTCTCCATTAACATGTACATACCGTAGGTACTGTACTATGAAATTTAGATTCTTGTTTATGACTGAGGAATTAGTTACATGTGACACGTTCTCAGATTACTACTTCGTTTCAATAATAAATCACATTTTCAACACAAAACCGTGGTTCTGTAATTATATAATGAGGTTCATAACACAAGTCACTGTTGTTATCAGTGTATAAATGTCCCGTAAGGAAAGAGTCAGTCACCAAGCCATAATAGTTGAAGATAGCCTCTTGAGATAAGACATTTATTTACTGAAGGAGTTAAATCATCATACTCAAGAGTTTAAATCATCATGCTCAAGGGGTTAAATCATCATATTCAAGGTGGAAGGCTGGCTGGCTGGCTTTGGTGAACGGCTGGCTGGCTGAGGCGAATGTCTGGCAAGACAAAACCCTACCAAATAGGTAAAGTACTTGTGACATTATGTAATGTCTACTGTATACGTAAGGTATTTTTGAACATTGTCTAAAATTTTTTGTATTGCAGATTTGTGTGGCTGACTGGACCCACAACGAGGTGTTGCCTGGAGGTGAGTGAGGGGAAGTGGGTGTGGGTGGTTGGGAGGGTAGTGGGGTGGGAGGAGGGGGTAGTGGGGTGGGAGGAGGGTAGGCGTGGGTGGGAGGGGGGGGTGGGGTGGGTGGGAGGAGGGTAGTGGGGTGGGAGGGAGGGTAGGGGGGTGGGTGGGAGGGTAGGGGGTGGGTGGGAGGTAGGTGTGGGTGGGAGGGGTGGGTTGGTGGGAGAAGGGGTGGGAGGGAGGGTAGTGGGGTGGGTGGGAAGGGAGGGTGGCAGGAGGAGGAGTGGGGATGGTAGGGAGGGTAGGGGTGGGTGGGAAGGGAAGGGTGGGTAGGAGGGATGGGTGGGTGGGAGGGAAGGTGTAGGTTGGAGGGTTGGGTGGGTAGGTGGGAGGGGGTGGGTGGGTGGGTGGGGTGACTGGGTGAGAGAGTTGAGTGGGTAGGAGGGAGGGTTAGGTGGGTGGGAGAATGGGTGTATGGGTGGGAGGGAAGGTGTCTGCATGGAAGTGAGTGTGTGTGTGTGGATGGGAGGTCCTCCCATCCACACGCCCTTTCTTCCATCCATACACTCTTCCTCCCATCCACACACCCAATCTCCCATCCACATATCCTTCCTCCTGACCACTCACCCTTCCTCCCATCCACACACCCTCCCTCCCATCCACACACCCTCTTGTCCATCCACAAGCCCTTCCTCTCATTCACACACCCTGAGGGCCTTTTTAAATCTTTTAGATTGTGTGGCTGTCTCGGGTGGACTGCTGGCTGGCTTACGTGGACGGCAGGCTGGCTCGCTCAGGTGGACGGCAGGCTGGCTGGCTCACTCGCGTGGACGGCCGACTGGCTGGCTCGCTCGCTCAGGTGGACGGCCGACTGGCTCTCTCAGGTGGACGGCCGACTGGCTCTCTCAGGTGAACGGCCGACTGACTGCTGGCTGGCTGAGGTGAACATCTGGCAGGACAAGAACCCCACCAAACAGGTAATGTACTTGTGACAATATGTAATGTCTATATGTAAAGTATTTATGAACATTGTCTGAAACTTTTTGTATTGCAGATTTGTGTGGACCCACAACAAGGTGCTTCCTGGAGGTGGTAAAGGTAAAAACTTATTTTTATAATAGTAACAGCACCATAGTGAGAAGTAGATACATAGTAGTAACTCCGCCTTGTTCAACTGAACATGCCGGTCCCCAGCCCGGATAAAGGAGGAGGGCTACTGCAGTGGTGAATGATCACCACTTCATAAACTCTTCATTTTCAGACCAATTTATAATACTGTACAAGGTACAGTAACTTGTATTTTATAAAGACCAGCAATGTAGTATTTTAGCTTTTTTTTTGATGCATAGTATTGAAAAATGAGTGTGTGTTCGTAAATCATTACCCTAAAACAGTGGTAGACCATACTTTAATCAGGGCAATCATTTATGGTACTTTCTTGTTTTGAGACCATGTTTAATATTGCAAGACTGACCATGTAGTGCACAGTATATTAGGTTTTGTAGACAGGAAATCTTGTAAAATAAAAGGAATTGTATATAATTTATCTTTATTATACCCTGTACACTACATTATATGTAAGTTGGCAATAATAGTCCAGAAGTTTGATACAGAAAGATTAAAAAAGAACTTGTCAAATTGCCTTATTCTTTGTGTTATTCCTGCCGTCTAGGTATTTAATAGTTTTCTAGACACTCTGGCAGTCATAGGATATCAATTAAGACCATTATCTAGTATTAGTGTAGGAGAAAATCAGAACTTGCAACAGTTGGGAACGTCATACTAGATAACATTTTCCTCGCTTCTCATTAGCACATTACTACTAAACTAACATTTCTTCTCGGCACATACATTTAGCGATGGAGGCGTCATCACGGTTTCACATATCTAACAAGTATTTCCCAATTCAACGTTTATAGTGGACTCCACTTAGGGTTAGTTTATTACACTAGACTTGAATGATTTAGTCTATCTTACATCAGGTTAGGGTCATACACAAGATTTAGTTTGATCTAATAATGGCAGTCTTGTATTTTGTGAATAATTTTGACCAGGTACAGTACAGACCATAGGGGTATTTCAAAATTTATCCAATTGACCAAGTCTGTTTAGAATTCATCACTTCCACCACTTGTCAATTTATTAGCTTTTTGGGCTGGTGAGGGAGCGAGTGGGCAGGTGGGTGGGTGTGGGTGTATGGGTAGGTAGGTGCACGTGTGTGGGGGTGATATTTGCTAGGTTTACACCGTTCAACACCCTTCTCACATCTGTCCCAGGCTGGAGTTTAGGCCCCAGGACAGTTTTGCGAGATACACAAACTACCACTGTACCACCAACACCCACTGTACTTTAGGTCAAATATCAAATTATTTCATTTCAAAACATTACAACTTTAAACATGACCATTGGATTTCAAAGTCTTTTGCATTTTGTACAACTAAGTAAATTTACATTGTGTTGTATATAATAATAAATTTATAATAAGAATAATAATTTTACAAGGATTTAATTTCTAAATTTTAGGCAAAACGAACTTTCATTCAACAATTGGTGTGCTGTGTCCAGATTGTCAACAATCCGTAAGTAAAATCCCTACTGTACTGTACTATACTTTCATGTACTATGTATACATTACTTTCAAAATAATAGTATGTATACAGAATCAAAAACGTATCTTTACGGACATGGCCGATGAATTTCAAAATGAACAGACACCTGTCGTCTGAGGTTGTCAAAATCCTTCGTCTGAGGTGTCATTGTCTAACACCCCCATAAAAATGCATTTGTTATGATTTACGCCTTGTAATAACTACACTGAAAGGAGATATTACAATGCCATCTGTAGGTACAGTCATGTGGTCATCTTTTTCATTTTGCATACACAATAGGTCACTACATGGGCATTAGTTTAACAGTTCTACATAGGCTGGCACTCAGATGTCAATTAGTGACAAGTATACATAGGCTGTCATGTTGGCAGCAGAGGATCCATATACTTTACACCTCACCTTCAGGTTTCAAGTTCAGTTTACAAGATCATTATTATTCTACTTTACAAATTCGGAATATAAAAGATGTCAAATTTATTCAGTGTTTATGTTTATGAACATATATTGCATAATGAGCCAACATTATATTCTCTTTCTCTATACAAGTGCCAACCATTACACAATATATCTACCTTTTTTAATCTGTGTGGCTTGACTCAAGGCTTACTTATATGTTCTTAAATATAACTTTACTGTACTTTTAAATATTTTCTCAATTCTTAATTGTATAAGTAAATTTGTGCTTAATAAGGTGGTAGTCATGAAGGTGTGGGATGGTTGACAGACAGAACAGTCGCTGAGGTCATCTGGCCATCTTGCTTTCACATGATACATCGATCTTGTACACCAACCACCTGTAATAAGATTTAGAATTTAGATCATTCTTAATTAACATTAATGCATCACTAACTACCAATACACAACATTTACCCCAAAATTTCTTGCATTTTATACTTGCATCCTTACATATATCCCTACACCCTAGCACCCCCCTATAACACCTTACACATGAGCTCCAGCCTTCCTGCTGTCTTATGGCTGCAGCAGTCTTCTCACAGGCATCATCCACAACATTCCTTCACAGTACATGCCGTTTTACTCCTAAATTTATAACATTCACTATTAACCATTGTATGAGCGCACCGCCACTGCCCAACGTACGAGCGCCCCGCCACTGCCCAACGTACGAGCGCCCCGCCACTGCCCAACGTACGAGCGCCCCGCCACTGCCCAACGTACGAGCGCCCCTCCACTGCCCACTGTTCCTCCTTCTCAATGACATTCAGTGGTTTTTAGGTTTAGCCATCAAAGACAATACTTAACTGGGGAGGCTGAATTAACATGTGTTACATCTTGCTCAAGGTTGGTTCTGTATCTTTCTCTGTTGGCCTTTAAGTACATCATCTGTAACCTGCAATATATTTAGAGTTGTTATTTATGTAGAAAAAAGGTTAAATATACAATATCCTTCTACCACTAGACCACCTGTACTTAAACAGACTACAACTGTACACAAATTATCAAATTTTAATGGTTTACAAAAGTCTCAATTTTATCTAACTTGAAAATTAACTTTCTGTATTGACAATCAGTAAACTTAAGTGGCTCATAATATAATTTGAATTATTGTTTTTTAATACATTAGATAAGACAGGTTTTTGTATAAAAGATAGCTTAATATTGATTTGGTTCAGTCTAGGTTAGTTATGTTTAATCTAAGTTAGGATAGTTAGGCTAGTGAAGTTAGCTGAAACCAACCCACAACAACTTGCTTTACTCGCTATATTTACTACTACACTACAACTAATTTTCTCCAATAACCAATAGGTATGTAGTTCTGTATATTTACTCTAATATCAGTCTCTACAGTCAGTCCTCCAGAGCAATCCCAAAACACACATACACACACACACAGTCCTCCAGAGCCGTTCCAACACACACACACAGTCCTCAAGAGCCGTTCCAACACAATCCTCCAGAGCCCTCCAACACACACACAGCCCTCCAGAGCCTTCTAACACACACTGTCAGCCAGGCCCCCCCCCCCCCACACACACACACACCCTCCACTGCCCAGTGTAGGAGCACAGTGTTGAGTGGTGTATGGGATGACCGTACTAGCCAAGATATACTGTATAAGTAACTTAACTGATGAGGCTGAAGTTACATGCTGGGCGTTAAATCTTGCTCAAGGTTCTGTCACTTCTCCATTGGCCTTCAAGTACATCAACTGTCACCTGCAACATATTTAGAGTTGTAATTTATGTAGAATGAAGGTTAAACATACAATATATATCTACCACTAGACCGCATGTACTTAAACTGTGTCCAACTGTACACAAGTTTATCACTTTTTAATAATTTACAAAAGTCTCAATTTTATCCAATTTCAAAATTAAATTTCTGAATTCATGATCAGTTAACATGAGTGGCTAGTGAAATATGTTGAATTTTTGTTCTTTAATAAGTTTATTTCATATATTTACTGTATAATAGGTAACTTAATACCGATTTGGTTCAGTCTAGGTTAGTTGCATTTAATCAAAGTTAGGCTGGTTAGGTTAGCAAAGTTAGTTGAAACCCAATCACAGGAACTTGCTTTACTGCTTACATTTACAACTACACTACTACTAATTTTCTCCAACCAATAGGCATGTAGTCCTGTATATTTATTGTCACTACAACTAATATTAATTCTACTATAAAATCAATCTCTACAGTCAGTCCACACACAGTCCTCCAGAACCCACCAACACACACAGCCCTCCAACACACACAGCCCTCCTACACGGTCCTCCAGAGCCCTCCAACACACACAGCCCTCCAACAATGTCTGCCAGGCCCAAGACACAGGCCACCAAACCCCCCACACACACACACACACTGATCACTAGGTCCACACACAGACCCTATTAGGCCCCTAACACAGCCAAGCCGCCCCCCACACACACACACACTCCTCTGCCCAGTGTAGGAGCACAGTGTTGAGTGGTTTATGGGATGACCGTACTAGCCAAGATATACTGTACAAGTAACTTAACTGATGAGGCTGAAGTTACATGCTGGGCGTTAAATCTTGCTCAAGGTTCTGTCATTTCTCCATTGGCCTTCAAGTATATCAACTGTCACCTGCAACATGTTTAAAGTTTTAATTTATGTAGAATGAAGGTTAAACATACAATATACATCTAGCACTAGACCAATGTTAGGCTGGTTATGTAGGTTAGTAAAGTTAGTTGATACTCAACCACAACAACTTGCTTTCCTGGTTACATTTACAACTACACTACTACTAATTTTCTTCGACCAATAGGCATGTAGTCCTGTATATTTATACTTAATGTCACTACAACTAATATTAATTTTACTAGAAGACCAGTCTCTACAATCAGTCCACACACTGTCCTCCAGAGCCCTCCATCACACACGCGCGCGCACACACATATCTCCTCCACTGCCCAGTGTAGGAGCAGTGTTGAGTGGTTTATGGGATGACCGTTCTAGCCAAGATATACTGTACAAGTAACTTAACTGATGAGGCTGAAGTAACATGCTGGGTGTTAAATCTTGCTCAAGGTTCTGTCACTTCTCCATTGGCCTTCAAGTATATCAGCTGTCACCTGCAACATGTTTAAAGTTGTAATTTATGTAGAATGAAAATTAAACTTGCAACTTCCATCTACCACTAGAGCACATGTACTTAATCTGTCCCCAACTGTTTACGTAAATCATTACCCCCACATTAGTTTACTCAAATTGCTTCTCACCAATACAGTACTGCTACACTATTCTGTACTACACATCTCTACACTGCTTCATGCACTATACACAAGGTTTACTACAGCCCGCTTACTAGACTTGCCTCCCTCATGCCCCCTTATGTGTACCCCTCGACAGTTTGGTTACACTTGGTTTGAATGACAAACCACCACAACCACCTGCCCACCTCGCGTACAATTCCTTATGTGGGAGCACACAACCCTATCCCATACATCACCACAGTTCCTCCCACCCTACCAGTATACAACACCCCACACCCTCACAAAACGTTAAATGACCCCACAACAAGCCAAACCAACCTACACTCTCAAAACGTTATACGACACTACAACAAGCCACACCCACCCACACCCTCACAAAACATTAAACGACACCACAGGAAGCGACACCCACCCACAACCCCACACAGTTAAACGACCACCAACAAGCCACACCCACTAACACCCCCTTACAAAACATTATATGACACCATGGCAGGCTACACCCACCCAAAACGCTAAAATTTACCTCAAGGAATACAGTTGTATAGTTTAAGAAGCTTCACTTCTCACTCGTGGTCTGTTGTTCCCACATACTGCACCACACTTCACTTATGACCTCTACTGCACCACACTAATAACAGGGTTTTGTACTGTAGTTAGATCTGTAGTCATTCCGTGATCTGAAAGATTCACCATCACATTGTAATACGTAGATTGGCGAAGGTTAAATTGATCTTCAGCTGAAAAAAGCTGGGGGATGAATCTTCAGGCAAGCCAAACATTTTAACATTTTCCAGAGGTTAATTAGTTGGTTGCTGCCTCATTTACCAATACATTTTAACAGTGTCTATATACATCTTAAAATTTATTTTAGGAACCCGGTATTTTTTTTGTTTTACAAGTAGACAACTAACGTTGTTAGATTACGTTACGTTGTTGTTGGTGTTGAGCAAAGTGCATTTCCGATGGTAAAATCCATGTTTGTCCACTTTTAAAAATTTGCCAGGAACCCTTAATGCTACGGAATTTAATATATACTGTATTCTGAAACGTCTCGCCCTCCGCCGGCTCCCTACCTCACCTCACCTCGCCCTCCGCCGGCTCCCTACCTCACCTCACCTCGCCCCCTACCTTACCTCACCTCACCACGCCACGCCTGGCTCCCTACCTTGCCTCGCCTCGCCTCGCCTCGCCCGGCTCCCTACCTCGTCTCGCCCGGCTCCCTACCTCACCATGCCTCCCCCGCCTCACCTCGCTCTGCTCCCTACCTCACCTCACCTCACCCGCTCTGCTCCTGCTCTGCTCCCTACCTCCACCTCACCTCACCTCACCTCACCTCGCTCTGCTCCCTACCTCCACCTCACCTCGCTCTGCTCCCTACCTCCCTCACCTCGCTCTGCTCCCTACCTCACCTGCTCCTCCCTACCTCCCACCTCACCTCGCTCGGCTCCCCACCTCACTCACCTCGCTCGGCTCCCCTACCTCACCTCACCTCGCTCGGCTCCCTACCTCACCTCACCTCGCTCGGCTCCCTACCTCACCTCACCTCGCTCGGCTCCCTACCTCACCTCACCTCGCTCGGCTCCCTACCTCACCTCACCTCGCCTGGCTCCCTACCTCACCTCGCCTCGCCTCGCCCGGCTCCCTACCTCGCCTCACCCGGCTCGGCTCCCTACCTCGCCTCGCCCGGCTAAAACCCGTAATAAATTCTGTTTCAACTCCCAGAAATCGTAGTTATAGAGTAAACAAAGAACTTGCCAGTAAAATATATTATATCGTAATTCCGCAAAAAATCGTTATATATTTGTTAAACCGAGTCATTCTGGCGCAGTTTTTAATGCAGAATACAGTGGTGGTGAACTTTTGGGAAAATACGTAATTATTGAGTTATGACCACCCGGCTCCGCCGAAAGTGGGTTGGGCTTCGAAGCAAGAGGGAAAATGTGAAATTAAAAAATAATACAGTTATCTAACCCAATCTGGTCATTGTACTCACTTACTGGTTAATTATTACGTAAATACTGATGTATGGTTTACGCACGTTACCCGCCACCTGCTTACAGTTTAGGGTCGTTTGTCATGGCTCATTTGGCGGTATATTTGCCTAAAACATTAAGAAATTACTGGTTAGACGTTAGAGAAACACTTAATATAATACTAATCCATATTAATGTATTTGTTTAAGCTGCAAAGTAGTTACCATACACCTTACAGCCCAGTGAAACTTGGGGATACGACCCAAGGAGGCAAGTGAACTGTAACAATCGGCTGGCAAGTTTTTTACTTAAATCAGCATTTATTACGCCATAATTAAGTATATTAAATACTACCCAAAAGAATAACCATTTCTCTTGGCCATTTTGACTGTAGACAGTTGGGGAAAAACATTACACGTATATAATGGAGACTAGAGGTGAGGGGCAGTTCGGGCTTACCTGCTTGTCAGCTGCAGCCGGTGAGTGGTGATGGTCGGTGAAGAATGGGGCGAAAATGAGTTAGTCGAGACTTTATATATGAAGGTTGAGAGTGACGTCACGAAGCTTCATTGAATCATTTTGATGCTTCATTGAAGCATTCGAAGCTTCGAATATGAATATACGCTAAAATACCCAAAAACGTCAAATTTATGGCCCAATTTCACTTTTGATTAACTTTTAGGATATAATACAGCGAAAATAGTGTCCCATGACGAAAAAACTAAAAACAGAAAAAGGAAAAGAGAGAAATGCTGGGACTCGAACTCGGGCCTCAATGAGTGGCAGGTAAAACGCTTATCCACTGGACTTTTCGAGAAAGTAGATAACCAACTTTCCCAGAAAGTAGATATTTCCCATTTTGTATGATACAAATTTCCCCTTTTCTATGACAATCTACTAAGTAAAATTAGGTACCATTTCCCTAAAAGTCGTGTAGTGGAATTCTCCCCTACAAACGCTGTTTGTCGCTGTCTAGCCGACCTCACCAATTCCCCAGTGTATGCCTCGTGGTCTAGGTCAACCAGCGCCGCCATACACCACGGAGCGGGGGTCAACTGCTAAGCCACGCCTACCCCCGCTATTTAAGACCTGACCTCGTGGTGATCTCTCTCTCTACCTACAGCCACAGCCAGCAACACCTCCTCCTCTGCCGCTGCCTGGCGGCCCTCCCTCCTCCGCCTGCCTGGCGGTCCTCTCTCCCGCTGGCGAGCATGGCGACCCACAAGCTGTCCTTCTCTGAGCACCCTCACCAACCAGCTCTCTCTACATCACGCTTGTAACCATGCTGCCTTCCCAGCACCAAGCTGCATTGTACATCCAATACAACATGTATATAGAGAGCACATTGTGAGTTTCCTTTCTCCATTCCATCCTGAGTGTGAACCAAACAATCTCATACCCCACAGTCGATAATCTACTTTTCAGGAAATTAGATTACATAATTTTTCGAAAATTAGATTGTCATAGAAAACAAATTTTATTATAGAAAACGGAGATTTTTTACCATAGAAAATGGGAAATAACCTACTTTCTCGGAAAGTTGGTTATCTACTTTGCCGAAAAGTAGATAATCTTATCTACTTTAAGGGAAAGTAGATTATCGACTTTTCGGAGAAGTACATTAACGACTTTTGGGGAAATATTACCTAATTTTGCAAAGTGGATTATCATAAAAACGGGAAATTTGTTTCATAGAAAATGGGAAATATCTACTTTCCGGGAAAGTTGGTTATCTACTTTCCCGAAAAGTAGATCATCTTATCTACTTTTCGGGAAAGTAGATTATCGACTTTTTGGGGAAGTAGATCATCGACTTTTGGGGAAATATTACCTAATTTTGCAAAGTAGATTATCATAAAAAACGGGAAATTTGTTTCATAGAAAATGGGAAATATCTACTTTCCGGGAAAGTTGGTTATCTACTTTCCCGAAAAGTAAATAATCTTATCTACTTTTCGGGAAAGTAGATTATCGACTTTTTGGGGAAGTAGATCATCGACTTTTAGGGAAGTAGATCATCGACTTTTGGGGAAATATTACCTAATTTTGCAAAGTAGATTATCATAAAAAACGGGAAATTTGTTTCATAGAAAATGGGAAATATCTACTTTCCGGGAAAGTTGGTTATCTACTTTCCCGAAAAGTAAATAATCTTATCTACTTTTCGGGAAAGTAGATTATCGACTTTTTGGGGAAGTAGATCATCGACTTTTAGGGAAGTAGATCATCGACTTTTGGGGAAATATTACCTAATTTTGCAAAGTAGATTATCATAGAAAACGGGAAATTTGTATCACAGAAAATGGGAAATATCTACTTTCCGGGAAAGTTGGTTATCTACTTTCCCGAAAAGTAGATAATCTTATCTACTTTTCGAGAAAGTAGATTATCGACTTTTTGGGGAAGTAGATCATCGACTTTTGGGGAAATATTACCTAATTTTGCAAAGTAGATTATCATAGAAAACGGGAAATTTGTATCATAGAAAATGGGAAATATCTACTTTCCGGGAAAGTTGGTTATCTACTTTTCCGAAAAGTAGATAATTTATCTACTTTTCGGGAAAGTAGATTATTGACTTTTTGGGGAAGTAGATCATCGACTTTAGGGGAAATATTACCTAATTTTGCAAAGTAGATTATCATAGAAAATGGGAAATTTGTATCATAGAAAATGGGAAATATCTACTTTCCGGGAAAGTTGATTTATCGCAAAAATGAATAATCATCCCTTTCGGGAAAGTATTTTGAAATATAAGTAGATAACCATCTTCCAGAAAGTAGATATTTCCCATTTTCTGTGATGCAAATTTCCGTTTTCTATGATAATCTACTTGCAAAATTAGGTAATATTTCCCAAAAGTCGATGATCTACTTCCCAAAGTCTAATCTACTTTCGAAAAAGTGAATAAATTATCTACTTTTCGGGAAAGTGAATAACCCTTTCGGAAAGTAGATATTTCCCATTTTCTATGATACAAATTTCCCGTTTCTATGATAACTACTTTGCAAAATTAGTAATATTTCCCCAAAAGTCGATGATCTACTTCCCCAAAGTCGATAATCTACTTTCCCGAAAAAGTAGATAAGATTATCTACTTTTCGAAAGTAGATAACCAACTTTCCCGAAAGTAGATATTTCCCATTTTCTATGATACAAATTTCCCGTTTTCTATGATAATCTACTTCGCAAAATTAGGTAATATTTCCCCAAAGTCGATGATCTACTTCCAAAAGTCGATAATCTACTTCCCGAAAAGTAGATAAGATTATCTACTTTTCGGGAAAGTAGATAACCAACTTTCCCCGGAAAGTAGATATTTCCCATTTTCTATGATACAAATTTCCCTTTTCTATGATAATCACTTTGCAAAATAGGTAATATTTCAAAGTCGATAATCTACTTTCCAAAGTAGATAAGATTATCTACTTTCGAAAGTAGATAACCAACTTTCCCGGAAAGTAGATATTTTCCATTTTCTATGATACAAATTTCCTGTTTTCTATGATAATCTACTTTTGCAAAATTAGGTAATATTTCCCCAAAAGTCGATGATCTACTTCCCATAAAGTCGATATTCTACTTTCTGAAAAATAGATAATCTACTTTGGTAGGTAGGGTAAGTAAGTGGGTGGGTGGGTAGGGGAGGTGGGGTAGATAGCTAGGTAGGCATTGAATTGAATTGAATTGAATTTAAACAGTTTATTTAGCCAGAAAATCACAGATACAGTGGGATAATAATAACAATATTAACATAGCTGAGCCAGTTGAGAACCTGAGCTCTCCTGTGGCACCTGATATATACTATACATTTATCTCAAGGAAGTATTATGTAACATTTAGTATCATCTGAATAGTACAATAGCATGGTGGTAATAGAACATCTTATAATGTTACCACGGTTGCCTCTTCCACACGGCAGTAATTGGGGACCTGATGTTAATCGATATGCGGAATGTGTTCCGGGGTAATGGATAGTCAGCAGTTGGCGATTTGTCCGGTCTTCTCGACTATTCCTTGACCCTGGCTGGGTCATGCAGCTCGTTAACTTAGGGTGTAGTTGTTGTGTTGGCGACAGCTTCACACCTTAAAACCTTGGGCCGGCCATCCTCTTTACACGAGGCAACCATTAGGTAGGTAGGTGGCCGGGTCTCGGCATGGAGGTAGGCCAGTAGGTAGGCAGGCCGAGCGTTCGGTAGGAAGGCAGGCTGTCAGGCAAACAGGTAGGCCCCGGAGGCAGGCAGGCAGGCGTGATCTACAGAGCTGGAGCTACTGTAGTATGTGGCTTACGGAACTGGTGCTGCTCGTATGTGGTCTACAGAGCTGGAACTGTGTCTACCAGGATATTTACACTGTAGCATCCACGAACCCAACATAACTCTAGGTTATCTTATGTTAGTGGATGCTACAGTGTAAATATGAGGCAGACACAACTCCAGCTTTGTAGACCACACACAGTACTATCTATAGACTGCATACTACAGTAGCTCCAGCTCTATAGACTGCATACTACAGTAGCTCCAGCTCTGCAGACTACATGCCATAGTAGCTCCATACTACAGTAGCTCCAACTCTGTAGACTACATACTATAGTAGCTCCCAAATAACAACATAAGCATCTATTTGTAATTTTTTCATTCATGGTGATGTAGCCTCTTGTCATCTGGTGGTACTGGTGATGTAGCCTCAGTCATCTGGTGTTGGTGGTAGTAATGTAGCCTCAGTCAGGTTGTGATGGTGGTAAAGTAGCCTCAGACATCTGGTGTTGTTCGTGGTAATGTAGCCTCTTGTCATCTAATGGTAGTGGTGATGTAGCCTCAGACATCTGGTGTTGGTGGTAGTAATGTAGCCTCCTGCCATCTGGTGGTGTTGGGGGTGGTGGTGGTGGTGCCTCCTGTCATCTGGTGGTAGTGCCTCAGCCATCTGGTGGTGGTGCCTCCTGTCATCTGGTGGTGGTACCTCAGTCATTTGGTGGTGATGGTGCCTCCTGCCATCTGGTGGTGGTAGTGCCTCAGTCATCTGGTGGTGGTGGTGCCTCCTGTCATCTGGTGGTGGTGCCTCAGTCATCTGGTGGTGATGGTGCCTCAGTCATCTGGTGGTGGTGGTGCCTCAGTCATCTGGTGATGGTGGTGCCTTAGTCATCTGGTGATGGTGGTGCCTCAGTCATCTGGTGGTGGTGGTGGCGATAATGTAGCCTCAGTCATCTGGTGATGGTGGTGGTAATGTAACCTCAGTCATCTGGTGGTGGTGATGTAGTCTCAGTCACCTAGTGGTGGTGGTGGTGGTGGTGCCTCAGTCATCTTTTTGGTGGTGATGTAGTCTCAGTCACCTGGTGGTGGTGGTGGTGCCTTAGTCATCTGGTGGTGGTGCCTCAATCATCTGGTGGTGGTGATGGTCTCAGGCACCTGGTGGTGGGTGGTGGTTGTGGTGCCTCCAGTCATCTGGTGGTGGTGCGTCATATGGTGGTGGTGCCTCAGTCATCTGGTGGTGGTGCCTCAGTCATATGGTGGTGGTGCCTCAGTCATCTGGTGGTGGTGCCTCAGTCATCTGGTGGTGGTAGTGGTAGTGATGTAGTCTCAGTCATCTGGTGGTGGTGCCTTAGTCATCTGGTGGTGGTGTCTCAGTCATCTGGTGGTAGTGGTCGTGATGTAGTCTCAGTCATCTGGTGGTCGTGGTCGTGATGTAATCTCAGTCATCTGGTGGTGGTGATGTAGTCTCAGTCACCTGAGTGGTGGTTGTGGTTGTGGTGCCTCAGTCAAATGGTAATAGTGGTAGTGATGTAGTCTCAGTCATCTGGTGGTAGTGGTGGTGCCTCAGTCATCTTGGTGGTGATGTAGCCTCAGTCATCTGGTGGTGGTGGGGCCTCAGTCGTCTGGTGATGGTGTCTCAGTCATCTGGTGTTGGTGGTGGTAATGTAGCCTCAGTCATCTGGTGTTGGTGGTGGTAATGTAGCCTCAGTCATCTGGTGTTGGTGGTGGTAATGTAGCCTCAGTCATCTGGTGTTGGTGGTGGTATGTAGCCTCCTGTCATCTGGTGTTGGTGGTGGTAATGTAGCCTTCTGTCATCTGCTGGTGGTGGTGATGTAGCCTCAGTCATCTGGTGTTGGTGGTGGTAATGTAGCCTCAGTCATCTGGTGTTGGTGGTGGTAATGTAGCCTCCTGTCATCTGGTGTTGGTGGT